TTCTTGATGAGAAGAAAAGGAAAATAGAATGAAAAAAACTTGGAAAATTTTAGTCGAGCAAATTCTATAGAAAATATATGAAAAGAATAACTTATATAGAAAAATCGAATTCTGTTGCCTTTTTCTATTGAACATGTCAATAGAATCAGCCAAAAACTAATAGAAAGTTTAATAGAAATTCAATAGAATTTTCTAACGAATTCGATAGGTCTTTCTATTAAATTTTTTCATGCGTGTCGTTCTGTAATTTTCATTCTGCTCAATTCAATATTCAGTCCCTGTATCAAAACTGATATCCCTCCAATTGACGACCAACATTTTTTCACTCAATATTACACAACCACTGATAAATAAACAATTATTGAGAAAGACGGTCTCACACCATGTACGCAGTGAGTGACTCACTACTTTCCCTTGTAATTAACGGAACATCACCTGCAGGAAAAATAAAAAGAGCCGAGGAGGCAAAAAAACACAGGAAAAGGACAAGAAGTAAGATAAACACAGAAGGGATCCGAACAGACAGACTAAGAGGAATAAAATAAAAGAAAATTCAATGAGGAAACTCACTTGTAGAGGCAATGAGGTTTTATTGGATTTACCTGAAATTCCAAGAATTATTGTGAATTATTGAATATATAACGTTGGGTGGTGTAATATTAACGCAGTACAAGAGGACTAATTTCACTGGAATTGTGGAGGAAAATGTTTCTTGCATGAATTCAAGTGGATAGAGAGGGTACGATGTATGCTATTGGTAGGAGGAAAATATACAATGTTGGAAGTGTACATTTCTTCAGGAAGTTCTTCCCATGGTCGAGAAGAAGAGTCTTATCAATGTTTCATGAGACGCACGTATGGCGACGGCTAGATGAAAGGCCCGACTGCATCCATTTTCTTTTTATTCCTTTATTCCCCTTTTATTATTATTATTATTATTATTATTATTATTATTATTATTATTATTATTATTATTGTTATTGTTATTGTTATTATTAACTTCGGGATCCGAAGGGATAAAGTTATTGTAATGACGCCGAAAATCGATTGTGAAAATTTCATGGTTTCTCTACACTTCATGACCCTTAGAAAATCACCCGACACTTTTTAGAGACCGGTCTGTATATGTTTGGATGTGTGTGTGTGTGACCAAAATTTTGTGCTACAATTTCTCTTGAACAAACGATGCTATTCAATTTTTTTTTCACGCAATCAATGTGTTTTCATGTAATTTAGAACTGATTAGATTCTGAACAACATCGCCTCAGCGGTTTATTAGATTTTGCAATATAACTTGTGAAAAAATGTCGAAAAATTACTTTTTTTTTTTTTACAAATTTGGTGATTCCTGTCAGAGAAACGATGAGATTGATTTCTTGTCATCATAATTGATGCAATTTTGTATGAATAACACTGGAGTGAAATTCCAGCAAAACGAATCAGCGGTTTCGAAGTAATTCGAACATGAATTTTTGAAATTTGAAATTTTTCAAAGATTTTTCAACATAGGTGAAATTTTTTCATTATTATTTTTTTTTCGTTCAATTTTTTTGTTTTTTCATTAAGGTAAACAAAAAAATTTACAAAATTTGAGCCAAGGAAATTCAATGGAAAATATCTCAATAGAATAAGTTGTATAGAAACATCTAATTCTAATCAATGAAGGAAAGGCAATTGGTATCATTATGTTTCATGAGAAATCTAGAAAATTCCCAAGGAAATTCTCATTATTGTTGCTAATTTTAGGCAACGATTTTCGCTTTGTGAACTGTTTGAAAAATCATTCCTAGTAATAAAAAGTTTTTTTCAACAAAGGTCTATGCATGCAAATGAAAATGGACTTTTGTTTTCTTGTTATTATCGTTTGCTCGTTTAACACACAAAGTTTTTTTCGTTAATGAAGGGGTTGTAAAATAATAGTATGTGAAAAAACATGCAGAGTACAGCGATTGTATGGTGCATCCATCCAGTCCAATTAATGCTGCTGGTATTGAGAGACACAATCCCATGAAATTTACATGACAACACATTCAATGAGTTTGAAAAAAAAATATTTCAGCGTGCGTTCAAGCCTTTTTCCCCCGGAAAATGAAAAAAAACTATCCTTTTCGTTTTTCCACTCGGAGTCACATCATAAATTCTGTTTCACCCGTCTCGTTTACCCTTTAACTTGCCGTGTATACTTTGACTGCGGTATATATTTACCCCAGTGGCACGTGGCCAACCCCGTTCTGCAGGCATCAAGCAACCAAAGAAGGACGATTTTATACCGTCTAAGGCGCACCGAACGTTAAACGATAATACAAACAGCGTCAAAGCCACTTTTCATTCCAGTGATTTTCTCGCATTTTTTATTCTTTTTTCATCTGCAAAGATAAAGAGAAACATGGAATGATTCATAGAATTTCAAGATTGAAGATTTACTACGTTTACCATGTTAAGGGGAGACCGCGGTGAAATTTCAAAGTCTTCGCTGGGTTTTAAGAGGCATTGGACGACTTTTGGTATACCCAGGGAACAATTTTTACAGATGCCATCTAAAAGTCCCCAGCAAGACCCGTAAATATCCGGAAATTGTAAACCGGTAAACGGAATTGTACGGGTAAATTGTTAACTGAGTATTAAAAAATAAGAAAAATTTCGGAGCCGAACCCTTTTGCTTCGTATATCCACCAAAAGCGTCATTTCTCACGTTTTTAGCTTAAAAATGCTCCTTGCACCACAGCTGTCATCCGATTTTAACTTTTTTTAAATATTCGTTATACTCCAACGAACAAACCCAAGTGTCCGTTTTATTTTATATGTATTAGATCACGAGAAAATGATTTTTTTGACACTGCTATGTTCACCTCGTGCTGAAAAGTGCGTTTTGGTTGACTTTTCGTTTTTCGAGTAAACTAAAAAGGTACAGTTCGACCACTCGCTGAACGTAACATCACTGTCAAAAAATATCGTTCGACACATGTGAGAAGGGAATTTTCAGATCGTGTGATTGGCAGCACTTCACACTCCTGAAAATTCCGGCTCACTCGTATCGAAATATACTATTTTGGTTTTGATTTTTTTTCTCTTATGGCAAATCCGAAAATTCGTTGTTTTTTGTTATTTCATGTTATAATCATACGTAATTGGAATCTTATGACAAAAAAATATGTGCGGTTACAAAATTTTAGGATTTGGCAAGGGAAAAAAAAATCAGAACTAAAAAATATTTTTCTCATGATCTAATACAAAATAGAGAATAAGGAACATTTTAAAAAAATGTAAAATCGGACGAAAACTGTGATGCAAGGAGCATTTTTAAGATATACGGGGCAAAACTGGTGAGGTCCGAAATTTTTTACTTTTTAATATATCCCCTCGTATACCAAAGACGTCCAATGGCTCTTAAGGCCAAGCGAAGACTTTTAAATTTCACCGCGGTCTCCCCTTGAATGGTAAACGTACTGGTAATTAAAGAGTTTCAAAAAAACACAATGTCAGTTTGATTTGTTTGTAGAAAAAAAAATGTAATTTGTGGGGATATTTATCAAAATATTGGGATATCAAACAACTCTCAGGATTCTATTCCAGCACCTTTGAGTATTATGCTATTTATGGCGTGGCTGTAAAAGCCAAGAGAAAATTTTTATTAAACTCACAGGTGCCAGTCGGAAGTTATGGAATCGTTCGGTTATTTTAATCTGTTCAAAGGTGTTGTGTGTGTATATATATATTTCCTTTTATCCCCGTTTTTTATGGCTCAACGAAGGGTGCAACATTGATTTTTCTCCTTACCATGTTGGAAATGAAGAGTAAAAGTTGTATTTTTCGTAATTATTCTTCTTCATTTTTCAAGTCTTCAATTTTTTCATCAATCAATTCATACCAATAAAACATGATGACAAATTTTAATTAAGGGAGGGTGAGACAACATGGACATCTGGGGTAAAATGGACCCTCAAAAAATTTACGAAGAGAAATTTTTTTTTTCAAAATTCAAATATTTGAAAATTGTTTCATTGGACATTATAGACACATGATACATCCGTATGAGATGGCCTAAAATGGATGGTCAAAAAAATTTCAATAATCGAATTTTGAAAAATTGCTTCTTGGCAAAGTTCACAGCCGAAAAATTATTCAATAATAGGGTAAAATGGACACCCGAAAAAGTTGGTCCTATTGAACTTTTAATCCAGAAAACTTGTAACAGACATTCTTCAACAGAATCGTGTCGGTATCTTTCTATAGAGAGAAATTAGAGTTGGAAGAGATATTAACAAATACACATCAACTCTATTAAATTTTGCATTGAAGTTTGAAATATAGAGTAGCTTTGGATTTCCTGTTTTATTATTGAAATAACTTTGAAATTATTCATTTTTTTCAATGAACAATTGCACGCCCAACACAACTGACCTTTTGTCCATTTGCAAAATTTGTAAGATGGCTACTTTTCTACTTACAAAGGAAATCACTACAAAACAATGGGAGGAGGGGAGGATAAATGAGCAATGAAAAATTTGGTTTACCACCCCCCACGACAAAAGTCACAAATGAGTTTTTTTTTTCAATTTGAAAATCGCAGTCATAACTAGTGTTTCAGAAATTGAATAACACGGTTGATTGAAACATAAAAAATTGAGGAAGAAATCGAAGTGTCCATTTTACCCCGGTTTTGCTTTACGTTACAACTCCTACAACAGTCTCCTGACAATTCGTTTGTTCGTTTGTATAAACTTCAAATGAAGTCGGAAGAGTAGATTTGATCCAATTCAACTCATTATTTAAATCTGGTGTCCATATTGCCCCACCCTCCCCCAATTGATTTTTCCTCTCAAGTGATGATTGCTCGATCCGAGTGTTGTCGAAAAAGCGAATTCAAAAAAATCTGGGAAATTCCGTAGTTAGATTTCTCCAGCTTGTTTCACGTAGTCAGCAGTGTCAGGGATTTTCTTTAGTCCCTAGAAAAGTAACTAGACGGTGAGTGAAGGTTTGCGGCAGTATGGTCGCAGCATTCATGCGCAGAGTATCGTAAACGCCAAGCGCAAGTTGAAATAATGCTGGACACGGCTAGTCGCCCAAGTGCGTCAAGTGAAACAACGGACACTAACGAAGAAACTACCGATAAAATGAAGATGGCGGATGGTTCAGTTATTTTGAGGAGAAACAGACCAGGAACGAAGGCAAAGGTATTTCTTATTATTTTAGACGCTGGGTTTGCTTCGTGTTACATTTTCCTTTCTTTATATTGCACTTAGGTTAAGCTTTCAGAGCCCGCACATTTGACATGGTATTTTCATCGTCATGGGACGGCCATTGACGGCTTGGCATTTTGCACCAACGAAAATCAATTATATTTATCGCACTTTTCTCCTTCATTTCCATCTTTCAATTTTTACCGGGCTTTCGAGGACTATTGTTTAAATTTTTCATCCTCTATTCTTGCTTCATCAGCTATTCTAGTCTAAAGTATACAAGGAGATTTTGCCCTTTCAAAGTATAGATTGCAATAATGAACTTTAAGGGTGTCCAAGGAACTTTTAGTGTTCGGTAGAGTAAACAGGCGAATTTCTGGACGGGGGTTACTTCCTGGACGATTTCAACTTGCATTGAATATTTCATTAATAACATGAAAATTGTACTGATCACTTCACCTTTCAATAATATTACTCGTGTATAATCGAGTGATCAATTATTTTTTCTATTGGTCGACATTTAATAAACGAAAAAAATATGGCCCAGTCGTCCAGAAATTAGAGGTTTCGGCTGCATTCAATTATTTCTTAATTTAATTATTCTTTGTTTTGTTATTTTCACTGCAAATAATTTTTTTTGATCATTAGAACATTCTTGCGACTCTGTTGGAAAATGTCTGTTGAAAATTTTCTTGATTAAAAGTTGAATAGGAGCAATTTTTTCGGCTGTCCATTTTACCCAACTCTTGAATAATTTTTTGGTGGTGGACTTTGCCAAGAAGCAATTTTCAAAAATTCGATTATTGAATTGGATTTATCAGATGTCCATAATGCCCAATGAAACAATTTTCAAAAATTTGAATTTCGAAAAAACAAAATTACCACCGATGTCCATATTGCCCCACCCTCCCCGATTTATCTCTTTCATAAAAAATATATGACCCGAGTGAGAAGCTAGAACACAAAACTGATGAAAAATATTGTAGGATTTCTGTAGATGGCCAGATGAGCCCTTTGAAGAGATGGACAGTACTCTGGCTGTGCAACAATACATTCAACAAATGATTCGACGGGATCCAACTAACATAGACTTAATCCTGAGTATGCCAGAGGCACAAGACGAGGGTGTGTGGAAATACGAGCACCTGAGACAATTCTGTATGGAATTGAATGGTTTAGCTGTTAGACTTCAAGAGGACTGTGATCCACTATCTTGCACACAAATGACTGCCACTGAGCAGTGGATATTCTTGTGTGCTGCACATAAAACCCCCAAAGAGTGTCCAGCAATCGATTACACGCGGCATACCCTGGATGGTGCTGCCTGTTTGTTAAACAGTAATAAATATTTTCCAAGTAGAGTCAGTATCAAGGAATCATCTGTTGCTAAACTTGGCTCAGTCTGTCGTAGAGTTTATCGAATTTTCTCACACGCTTACTTTCACCATTTGACGATATTCGATCCCTTTGAGCATGAGACGTATCTTTGTCGAAGGTAAAATATACTTTTTTTCACTTTATCGAGATCGATTATAAGTAGGGGAGAGTGGGGCAAAATGAAACCGAAGAATGACTGACGCAATTCAAGCAAAGCCAAATTTTTTTCAATAACTTGTTTATTAATTTTGTTTTTATTATTGGGAGTACTGATGAGAATAATAATTTTGTATTCGGTAGAAAAGAACATGCGGGGCGCTGAGTCTATGTTCTCTCCTCATTCGAAACCTCCAAAGGTTGTTCATATATTTCTTATATCGAGACGACAATATTAATAATTTTCACTAATTTTGTCCATAGTTCTCTTTTCAGGTAATATGAAATATTTCATCTATAATTCAATTGATTAGATTAGGGCGATTACACTTTTCTTTTTTTATTCGATTGAAATTCAGCATCACATTTTTCTTTTCCCCCTCTGGGTCTCCCCCTGGGCCTTCCTCTGAACTTTGAATTTTGCTGTTTCATTTTCTTTTCAAATAATTCATCGATAAAATCTTCTCAATAATTCTCCATTCTACTGAGTGGAAAATTATTACTCTCATCAGTACTCCCAATCATAAAAAAAGTTGATAAAAAAATGGTCAATAAAAAATTTTTTTTTGCTTCAATGTTTCATTTTGCCCTACTCTCCTCTATGGTAGTTAAAACAGTTTATAGATTTAAAGATTATACAAAGTTTTTAGCCGTGATTGTATCCCATATAAAGTCCATGTCTTAAAACTCTTGAAACAATGATTCATGATTGTTTATATTTTTACAGGTTTACAGCATTTGTAACAAAGTACAAACTGATGTCTAAAGACAATTTGATAGTACCAATATCGAAAGACGACAGTGCAACAGAGAGTGAAGCATAAATCAACAGATGAAAAGCAAAAGAGTCATTCAATTTTACAATGAAAAATTTACTTTGAAAGGTGGAATTTTTCTTTTTCGACATAAATTCTTCACAAAAAATTTACTTCATCTGGTGGAGAAAAAACAAAAAAAGACTAACGATCACAGAAGATTAAAAAATGATTTGAACAACATTGTTGTCAACGAGTTTTTCAACTTAGAAAAATCGCAATTTCTTACAATTTTCAGTTGAGAGATTCACCACACGTGAGAAAATATTGATTAGCTTCTCTTTTGTATTTTTTCTATGCTGTAATTGCAAAAACAATGAATTATTTCTTATTTTGAGCTAAGATGATTGGGATTCATACAAGATGATTCTTTTTGATTAAAGATTGGACGATTAATTATTGCCATTATGATAAAATTTCCATGAAAAATGAAATAAAATTTTTCAAGTATAATTATTTAGCCCATTAGGAATAAATGTTGTAATACACTAATATTTATACAGTATTTATGAAATCTTGGAGAACGAAAAAGTGTTAGACTAAAAAAACCTAGGCATTCTCTCCCCCGTTCCCGTCCCCCACCTTTTGACAATTTAGAAGTTGCCGATTGCCAGATACAGTTTTTTAAGACAAATGGAGAAATTTCAAATAACCTTACTACCCAAAAAATATGATAATTACCCTGATATTGAAATATATGAAAAGTCTAAGTGTACCACCTTTCATTCAATCTGGATAGGAGAAAAAGATATTTTATAATTTCAAATCTCATTTTCATAAATGTCAAATGAAATTCTTATTGACAAAAATTAGTGGATAGAAATCCTAAAAATGATGAAAATGAACCTGAAATGAAGAAAGAGAATCGTTTTTTCACAATTTTTTGTACAATACTAGAAAGACCATTCTATTCATCATAATAAAATGACAAATTCAATCATCACTGCCATTTTGACGTGCACCAAAATTTATTTTTTCTTGGAGAAATGACAGCCAACAAAATGAACATAATTCCATCATAATTTCAACTGTAAATAGGAATTGTAAATAAACAAGATATAAAAAGATAATCTTACTATATTAATAAAATCACATGAAACCTAGATGTTGGATGCCAGACAGATGATGGGATGAACAATTTTATCAATCAAGTATAATCGAAGGGCGGAAGAAAAAACGAAAAATTGATCAATGAGACTAAATCGACTAGATGTCTAGACACTTTTATAGCCATTTTCATCACTGACATTCGAATAATTAATTTTAAGGAATTCGCTTCGACTTTTTCGTTGATGTTTTATCCTTGAAATTTTCCCTTGGCCTCTTTTGTCCCGTTCTCAAACCCATTTTAGCAAATTCCTCAGCAGCAATGCCAGAAATTTTGCTCCTACTACCTTGACCCTGATCAGACACATTCTCGGATGAGTTCTGGAACATGTTGTCATCTGGCCCTTGGTATCTGAATAAATGGAACAATCTAATCGATCAATAGGCACAACATTGAGATTTCTGCTATTCCCATTGCCACTGAATTTCGGCTTACCCAAGTTCCGTGGAGTTGAATTGATTTTTAGTAAGGCAGATATGAATTTCTGGCACTTGTCTGTCATTCCCTTCATCTTTAGAATTATTTTTCGATCTAAAATTCATTAGAAAGGAAAAAAAATGGGGATTGAAAGATAATATTGCTTTAAAATTCCATTATCAATATTTTTATCGTTGAAACTTACTTGATGTAATGAAGTTTCGTTACTTGGTGGAGCCCTTTAAATTCTCTTTTGAACATCTCCGCACAGGAGATGACTTTTCCTACTGCCTGCCCAGCACCGGACCATAAAACACCCTCATACTTTGAAAATTCTTTGATTGCGTGATTAAAAACATTTCTAATTTTCGTTCCACTCTTCACTCGCATCAGTAGTAGTTTGTCTGGTAAATTTCTCATCAAGTTTTCATCAGTCTCTTCCTTTATTTCATCTGCAATGACAACTTTCCGACACTTCTTCGATTTAGATCTTCCCATCTGGAATTAAAAAAAAAGTAATAGGGGAGGGTGGGGCAATATGGACATCTGGGGTAAAATGGACACTCGAAAAATTTGCGAAAAAAAATTGTTCTCAAAATTCACATTTTAGCAAATTGCTTCATTGGGCGTATGGAGACCTGATAAATCCGTATAAGATGGACTAAAACGGACGCGCAAACAATTATCAGAAAATTTTTAATAATTGAATTTTTAAAAATTGCTCTTGTCAAAGTCCACAACCGAAAAATTATTCAAGATTTGGTCCTATTCAACTTTTAATGAAGAAAATTTTCGCCAGACATTTTCCAACAGAATCGTATTGGTATCTTTTTATCGAGAGAAATTAGAGTTGGACGAGACATTAGCAAATAAACTTCAACTCTATTAAATTTTGCACTGCAGTTTGAAGTATAGCGTAGCTTTGGATTTCCTGTTTTACTATTGAAATAACTTCGAAATTATTAATTTTTTTCGATGGACAATTGCACGCCCAACACAACTGACCTTTTGTCCATTTGCCAAGTTTGTAAGATGGCTACTTTTCTACTTACAAAGGAAATCACCATAAAACAATAGGAGGAGGGGAGGATAAATGAGCAAAGAAAAATTGGGCCCACGACAAAAGTCAAAAATGAGTTTTTTTTTTTCAATTTGAAAATCGCAGTCATGACTACTGTTTCAGAAATTGAATAACATTGTTGATTGAAACATAAAAAATTGAGAAAGAAATCGAAGTGTCCATTTTACCCAGTTCTTGTTTTACCTTACAACGCCTACGACTCAATCTGACGATAATGTGTTCGTTTTTATAAACTTCAAGTGAAGTCGGAACAGTAGATTTGATCCAATTCAACTCATTATTAAAATCTGGTGTTCACATTGCCCCACCCGGCCCTAATAACCGAAGTAATAATGACAATGAAGAATCCACATTCTCCAATAGACATTTTTCATTAATTCCGAAAGGAAAGAAAAACTACAACAGACGTGAGAAATGGAAGAGGGTAAAAAAGCAGCCGCCGCGACGGTCTATCGGTGTGAGAGACGAATCGAAGATATTGGAAAATGGAGATGGGAACACTGGGTCACGAGTTCACCTTTCAATTCAATTTTCTCTGGAGGAAAACCATTCTCGGTACGCAGAGATATCTCTCGTGGTCTTTATATCATTGAAATTACCAGCGTTGATTCCTCGGCCGCTTCAAACGAAATTAAAAGCGTAATGAAATATACCATTTTTCAAGCTCAACATTTGTTGAATAAATATATTAAAGAGGATGCATATGTTCCTTTTGATAAATCTAGACAATCGAGAGATTTTTAAATAAAAATAAAATATTTTATCCCATTTTCTACCGATTATTTTTATTCAAAGAATATTTAAGGATACTTCAGTGAGTATGAAATAAGAAATAAAAAGAAATGTCTTGTAGATCGGCTTATGGGCGAAATGTGTGAATTTCATGGTGTGGGTGTATATGGTAGTTGTATACCGGCATAGCACGAATAGCATTGCGAAGCCTCGAACGCCATATTGCATTATTAAGCGTTTACTCCACGTTCGAATTCACCCCATTCGAGCCATCCCCAGTCCTCCTTCCTCTCGCATTCCAGCATTATGAAGGTTTTTATCCCTAAAGGTTGGGGTGACCCCCAACGCACCCACTGAAGTACTGAAAAGTCTGGTCATTCACAAGCGGGCTGTTACCATTCAAGGACTTTGGGCTTCCTCTTTATTTTATTTTTTTTATTTTTTCTTTCAGGTCGTCAGTGCTCTCGCACTGATGGACTGGTTTTTATTCGCTGGAGAAAATTGAAGAATTAAGGGACTAAAATAATTTCAAAAAATCGGAAATTTTCTACGATTATAGGTATTAATGAGAACTAACTCTGTGTTAAATTTTAAACCCGATCGACCAGGCCGTTTTTGAAAAATCGCCATTTGTTTCCAAATAGTTTTTCGCAAATATCTGAAAAACTACTCAACCGATTTCATTTTTTTTTTTCAAAATATTCGTCTCGACGTTTTTTTTCTCAATCAATCAAAATATGTCTAACCGTTCGTACAAAGTTTCCGAGATATTTCCATTTTTCGGGTTTTCTTTAATTTAATGTAATTTCGGAAAATGATTTAGAAGTCTCAGAAGTGACGACTTTATCTGGTCGAGTTTTTCCCTAACTTAGGTTTTCCTCAAACCTTTAGCAAACGCGATACAGGGGGATGGAAAGAATTTGGTGGAGGGAGGGCGCGTGGGCGAGAAAGAGAAAAATTTAAAAAATGGGGGAGACATACCCGAGAGTGAAAAAAATTTATTATGCAAAAACCAGTCAGAAGCATACCATCAAGTTATTGACGGCGAAGAAAGTCTTGAAACATCATTCAGTGACATGCTCACACTGTTAACAAATTTCGTCTGAATTTTCCGTACCAAATTCCGGAAATTTTTATCGTGTTCAAGTTCCACTGAAATTTCAGGAAATCTTGTCACTGAAAATTCAGAATTTCGTGGAAAGATCAAACAGAGCTATAAATTTCCGTTCCATTTTTCCCTGAGAATGAATAGAAAACCATAAAATTCCGGTAAATATATTGTTGAATTTTCAGGACAGCGGCACTAAATTCGATTTAGGGGGAAAAATTATGAAATTTTAGATTTCACTGAAAATTCAACGTAATTTGACACTGAATATTCATATTAGATCGGTGCGTTGATTCAATATTCCAATTGAATGAAAAAAGGTGGATGAGGAGAAGGAGACTCCTGAAAGAGAGGGCGGAGGCGTGCTGATGACAACTTCTTTAATAACACTCGTGGTTCGCGGCATTTAAATCGAGTTAAACATCCAATTTACTCAGAGTGTCCTTGAGGACATCCAGGGTTGCGGCATTGGCTGGAGTGAACCATTAAAAATCGTATTTCGTTGAATAAAAATTTCCATACTCCCTCAATTGATAGAATTTCGTGGCCTCACACATGAAATTTTTTCTACAACTCGAGGGACATTTATGTTGAGAAGAAACATCAATTTTCTAATATCTCTCCAAGACCAGCGCGTTCGGAGATGATTTTTAATTGATGAAATTGGGGTAAATAACTCAAGGGGATGGGATAATTTTCTCCCGTAAATAATAACGAGCAAATTATCAGGCATTAATCGGACGGTTCATCTCCCAAGGAACCCCCCGGCATTGTCTTGAAATTCTTCTTGGGGAACGCCTGCGCCATGGGAATCGGGACGAAGGAGAACACCGAAGACTAACAGACCAATTCAACCCCCATTCAATTCCCGGAGTCACCATCTGGCTTTCCTGAAGCTAACATCATCTTTCAAATCAATTTTCCTCCAGTTTCAGTCCGTCTAAAACTCCCCTTAATCGTCACTGGATCACTTAACAACAGGTAGGGCTTCATTAAACTCGCATTAAATGCATTGGTGTTTTCGCCGCGTGGCAAAGCCATTTAATTAAAATAAAAATTTTTTTTCTTTTTCACAAGAGACAAAACGTCTGTCCAATAATTGAAAAACCACCGAGAAAAGCGAGCAATTGGAAAATTATTAGAAAAATTACCACAATCAATCGAATTGGAAAATTCACGGAAATTTTCAGTGTTGTCTGAAGAGATAATATTAATTCGCAGAGATGGACGTTGACGAGTTTCGTGTCCGTGGAAAGGAGATGGTTGAGTATATATGTGACTTTATGAGCAATATACATAATCGTAGAGTGACACCGGACGTCGGGCCGGGTTACTTAAGGCCAATGTTACCCGCGGAAGCACCCCAAGAGGGCGAATCATGGGAAAACATAATGAGTGACGTTGAATCCAAGATAATGCCTGGAGTGAGTGAATCAATTCAGTAGCGAAGTGGTAAAACGGTTCAAGTCGAGTCATCTGGCAGTTGAGTTTTTGAGGAATATTTCTGAATCCAAGGGAGATAGCGAAATTTTCGTCATTATATTTACGTTTTTTGTAGCTCTCCACGGACGAAAAAATTTAATAGAAAAACCTATCGAATTCATTAGAAAATTCTATTGAATTTCTATTGAACTGTTCGATTGGTTTTTGGCCGATTCTATTGAAATGTTCAATAGAAAATATTCAGTAGAAAAAATCAATAGAATTCGACTCAAATTTTCCAAGTTTTTTCGTTTGATTTCCTTGATGAGAAAAAAAAGAAAAATAGAATGAAAAAAACTTGGAAAATTTGAGTCGCGCAAATTCTATAGAAAATATATGAAAAGAATAAGTTATATAGAAAAATCGAATTCTGTTGGCTTTTTCTATTGAATTTTTTCTATTGAACATGTCAATAAAATCAGCCAAAAACTAACAGAAAGTTTAATAGAAATTCAATAGAATTTTCTAACGAAATCGATAGGTTTTTCTATTAAATTTTTCCGTGCGTGTCAATCGGCTTTGGAAACTGGCCAATAGTTAAAATTGACTTGACTTTACCACTTCGCTACTGAATTATGTGACGCATCCTATCATTGTTGCAATCATTTGCTTGTTTTTGTTTCATTTCTTTAGATAACGCACTGGCAACATCCTCGTTTCCACGCATACTTTCCGGCAGGCAATTCATTTCCTTCGATTTTGGGGGATATGTTGTCGGATGCTATTGGATGCATCGGATTCTCATGGGTTTGTCGATTAAAAATTGGCTCTCTCATTTTCTTCATTTGACATTATGATGAAATGACAAATTACGCAATTCCAGGCGGCGAGCCCAGCGTGCACAGAGTTGGAGACAATAGTCTGCGATTGGTTCGGTAAATAAAACAAGTGGGAAATTGCTCTTGTATTGAATATAGTACAGTTATTTTTGCTAATAAATTAGTAATGCGCTTCCGAATGGTTATTTTGCGCATCATTTCCTTCTATCATTGCTAATTCATTGCTTATTTCGTTTTATTAAGTTGAATAGGATTTCTTTTCAACTCATTATTGATTGAATCATTACTCTTATCTCTTTCTTCTATACAACCGATTGTCTTTATTACAGCTCTATCTCTCCCCTCAGCTCTTCGATAAAATGTTAACAGAAAAGTTTGATTTATACGTACTTGAATGAATTTGAACCATCGCATTTAAAACCATCAGAAATCTCACCTTCAGGAAAATTCATGAAAAATTCGAAATTTTCAAAAAATCGGGAATTCTGATTTTCAAAAAATACAGAATTTTTGCAAATTCTTACATAACTCAAAATAGCGATTATTGCAATCGCCTTCATCTTCACACTCGGTCGAAAGGACCTCCAAACAATTTTTTTAAGCCATCATTCAATCAATTAAGAACATTTTATTAGTTATCGTGAAAAAATCATTTTTTTTAACTCAAAAATGTTAAAAGTTAATGAATGAATTAAATATCAATTAACAGCGATGGATGGGGCTCAACAGTACCTCCATTTGAGGGAAAAAAGATTCAATTCCATCGATTCATTATTCGATACAACGAAAAAGCCAAAATTCAAATTTGAACGATTACAATGCTTCCATTCGGAGGCAAAAACAAGAATAAGCTCAATAAAAGACTGATTCCATTAATCAATTAATCCATCATTTGTCCTCTCCTCTCCGCCTCCAGGCAAGGCAATAGGTCTTCCAAATGACTTTCTGTACTTCAGCAATGGTAGCAAAGGTGGAGGCGTTATACAGGGCTCAGCCTCGGAGAGTGTTCTTGTCTGTATGTTGGCAGCGAGAGCACAGGCCATTGCCAGATTAAAGGAATCACCGGCAAATGCACATCTGGATGAAACAGCCCTGCTGGGCAAGCTTATGGCCTATTGCAGCCGAGAGTCGCACAGTTGTGTTGAAAAAGATGCCATGATTTGTTTCGTTAAACTGAGGATCCTCGAGCCTGATGAAAAGAGTGTTCTCAGGGGCGAAACACTCAGACAGGCCATTGAGGCGGATGTTGCTGAGGGAAGGGTGCCCTTCTTTGTTTCCACAACTTTCGGTACAACTGCCTGCTGCTCATTCGATAATCTCAACGAGATTGGCCTTGTTTGCAAGAAATATCCTGGGGTAAGTGATGGAAAAAAAACATTTCTTATAGGATTTCTTCCAGGATTTCCAATCAGTTTTCTCCTATTGGATTTCCTACAGAATGTCTTGTAGGATTTCCTATGAAATTTAGGGTCATAAGGGTCAGAGTGAGGGCCAAAAGTCATATGGGGATCATATAAGGGTCATATGGAGGTCATATATAGGGGTCAGATGAGGATCAAATGACCTTCATATGACCCTCACAAAATATGACCTCCACATGACCCCTATAGACCCTCATTACACTGAGAGAAAAACAAACACGTTGTCAAACAAGACTTGTTTGGGCCAACAAAATCGCTAGTTGAAAATTGCCAAAAAAAGAATTTGTTTGGTTCGAAAGTCTCAAACATGAATAATTGCTCTGCTTTCGACATTTCAAATTCTGTTGAAAATCTCATATGAAATCCTATCGAAAATCCTATAGGATTTTTTCGCGCGTGACCTTACAACAGTATTTTTTTAAATAAAGAAAAATTTTGGCTCCTCCTCCTCTTCCTCCAATAGATTTGGCTCCACATTGACGCGGCTTACGCCGGAAACTCATTCATTTGTCCAGAGTTGAAGTACCTCATGTCAGGCATTGAATATGCAGATTCGTTTAATACGAATACGAACAAGTTTCTCCTAACCAACTTCGACTGCTCTTGTTTGTGGGTCAGGGATCGATTCAAGTTGACAAGTGCACTCGTAGTTGATCCTTTGTATCTACAGCATACTCATGCGGATACTGCCATTGATTATAGGTAATGTCTGCATTAACAAGGGAGAAAAATATGAAATTCCATTTCCTTATAATTCGTTTCATTTCAAGACACTGGAGTATTCCACTGAGTCGAAGATTTAGATCCTTAAAACTTTGGTTCGTAATGAGGAGCTACGGAATTTCCGGTCTACAGGCGTACATAAGAAACCACTGTAAACTAGCCAAACACTTTGAATCTTTAGTCAAGAAGGACTCGAGATTTGAAATTTGCAATCAAGTTGTGGTAATTATGACGATTTTTTCCACATTTATAGTAGTTTGAATTTTGCGTCAACACAAAACAGGAGAAAGACTCATCTGTTACAGTTGGGATTGGTTTGCTTTCGAGCTAAAGGCACTGATAAACTCAATCAGAAACTACTGAGTGCAATAAACGATTCTGGCAGAATTCACATGGTCCCTGCTAATGTTAATCATCGGTACACTATCAGATTTGCTCTTGCAGCGCCGAATGCTAACGTCGAAGATGTCGGTAAGTATTAAAAAGAAGGAAAAATAAAGTTTTTTCTCCTTTTAATTAGTTTTCACAAATTATTGCAAAATACTCTCTTTGATTTTAATCAGAAATTGCATGGACTGTCATCACGGATATTCTCTCCGAAATGTTGGAGTCTAAAGATGTTATGGACGAACTGGCTGATATCCGGGAAAAGAAGCGAAAGGCAACACTCGAACAAAGGAGATCATTCTTTGTTCGCATGGTTTCCGATCCCGCCATCCAGCCCGGATTCACTAAAACTCCCAATCAACCCGCCAAATTGGAAACCCAAGCGACAATTGGAGGAATCGGCTCAAATCCCCCGCCAACGTATGTTATGATTGCTATTAATTAACAATGCCGCAGAGACTAGCGACGACATGAATAACCGCGAGTAAAATTTTTTTGTTTTTCTTTTCAGGCGTTCCTGGATCTCTTGGCCATTGGCTTATCTCATGTCCAAAGAGTCTACAGACACCAGTGAATTATCCCTCAGGTATTTCATTGTTTTTTTTTCTCCTCCAATCATCATAGGGTAAACAGGTCATTTTCTGGACGATTTCTCCTTGCATTGAATATTCCGTGAATAACATGAAAATTGTACTGATTATTTCACCTTTCAATAATATTACCCGTGCATAATCGTGTGATCGATTATTTTTTCTATCGATCGACATTCAATAAATAAATAAAATATGGCCCAGTCGTCCAGAAATTAGGGATTTCGGCTGCATTCAACTATTTCCTAATTTAATTATTCTTTGTTTTGTTATTTTCACTTCAAATAATTTTTTTCTGATAATTAAAATATTCTTGAAGGTATGGAAGCCATCATATCCCCATTTAGGTGATTCTTCTATTTTAGATCATATCACGAAATTCGAATTTCCTGAACCGTCCAGGAATTGGCCTGTTCACCCCATTTCCCTTGGCAAATTTTATGTTCACATCTCTTCTCGCTCACTCCACTCTCCACAATTGGCATTCATTCACTAAATATATTGATCAGAGCTTGTTTGAAGCTTACTGGATTTTTTAAGGTTTCGTCATTTGGATACGATGGTGCGCTTGAAAACCGGCACAGGAAGCCGTCGTGGGAGTAGCAACGGATGCAGTCCCGAGCCATCACCATCAGTATCACCCTCGCGCGCAAGATCACCCAATGGAAGAACATAGAAAAAAATGTATTTTGCTTGACTAACAAATGAAAGTAATTCGTTTCCCCATCAAAGTTGAAAGTATTAAAAAAGATTATCAAATGGCTCCAAAAACTATGATTTTCCCTTTCACTTTTGGGGACATGTGTGACATCCATTTTATACTTAAACCCTTAAGTGGTCGCATCGTGAGGGAATCCCCGCCAGTCTGTCGGTCACGCTATGAGCGCCGCGTCGCACTTTTTGCGATTTTTCAAATTGCAATGCAGTAAAGCCTCAGAAAAATTTGAAAAAATTTGACCTCTCATTTTAAAGTGTCTACATTAAGAGAAAAGTCGACATAATATCACATCCGCACACCATTTTTCAACCCGCTCTTTTATTTGAGCCCAAAAAAACATTCATATCTTGTCTGACATTTCTGTTATAAACTGAGAGAGTCAGTTTAGCCGAGATGAGAGACAAGATATGAATGGGATGGGAGTCTAGTTCGTAGCAGAGATGTCAGACAAGATATGAATGTTTTTTTGGGCTCAAAAATTCCCCCTCCTCGCCGTCCAGCACCCGCCAAAACTCATCTCTCAACTTTGAAGACAGTTAAGAGTTCAGAGAACCCCATAGGATCATCCGACATTACCCCAATTCTGAACGAACTCTTTAAAGTAGTGGAAATATGCAAGAGTTGAACTCTTAACTTGGTCCGCTAGGATAATAAGTCGGCAAGTTTCTGTAAGATTTGACTTCTTCGGTAAAAATTACGTGACAATTTCGTACTTTATTCGGTGATGAATCTTCTCTTCCATTCCTATAAAAATTGCCGGAAAACGTTCCCCCATTGCGGATTACGTGAATGGTTCCGTAATTTTTACTGAATATTTCTGTCCGTGCGTGTACCGTGTGTAAGGCAAATTTTCCAAAAAACATGGCAACTTTGAGCTTGAATACATAATTAAGGGCAACACCGAGCATAAAAAATTTCACGGGACTTCTTCAAGTATACGATCTCTATCACTCTTGATTTTTTTCGATTTTTCCTAGATCTTTCAGATTTACCATTCTGTCGATTTATGCTGGTGCGATGGGGCGCTCACGGCGTTCGTAACTTTTGCGCGGCCAACGGAGTGTTAACGAGTTTAGTTCAATGACATTATCCGCTGGAATCGGTGAGTTTAGCGAATACTTCCACAGCATTAACCACCAATGTTTTTTCCTTCTTAGCTGTGCATTTCATAAATAAAAAAGTTGAACTGTTTTTCACACAGACCCCTTCATGTCCATTGAACATATAAATCGATAAAAAAGAATATACACCATTGAAACTCCATCTGCAGTGGACCGAGACTGTTCTCCCCTGTGTCTGCCACCAAGTGAAAAAAAAAAAGAAATCTCTTATTATTACCCTGATTGAACTAACTATATATACACACGAACGTTTTTCCAATGTTTTTTATTGTGGTTGTTCAATGTAGGTGAAGAGGTAAACCACTCTATTTATAAACGTATGGACCAGGGGAGGGGAGAATTGCCATACCCGTTAACCACCCCTTCAATAGCCGATGATCACAGTCAACCACCCTCGTGTCACTTTTATTCGAGTTAAAACCTTCGTCCACTAAAGATCTATCCAACAAAAATTCCTCCAACGCAAAATCACTTATTACTATCGATAATAAACTGTTGATGAACGAATTTCTTTCATCTCTTTCTGCAAAAGAATAACAATTTTTTACTGGGGGAATAAATAACACTATTGTTCAATGGAGAGGTGGGGAACGTAGTTGCTTATAAAAGTCGAGTCAGCTCGGCTCAAGTGGAAACAGTCGCCGTATAGTGCCAATGAATAGAAACATCGTCTTGAAGAAATTCATCCCAGTTTTTTGTGTGGAAAATTTATTGAATTGATCAACAAGTGAAGGATGAATGTCGAGGAATTTCGAGTTAGAGGGAAAGAGATGATCGAGTATATTTGTGATTATCTGAGAACACTGGAGGGAAAGAGAGTCACTGCCAATGTGGATCCGGGCTATTTGAGACCTCTACTTCCTAAGGAAGCTCCGAGCAAGCCGGAATCCTGGGATGACATCATGAGAGACGTAGAGAGCAAGATTATGCCGGGGGTAAGGATAAGGAGCAATTGCACGAAACTGCCTCTGTTATCTTTAAATTGTTTATAATCTCGCGGGAACACTTGTCATCAAATTCAGTAGCGAAGCGTAAACCGGGTCAAGTCGATTTTGACTTCTGGCCAATTTTTGATGAATATCTCGGAATCTAAGAGACAGCAAAATTTTTTTCATCAGCTTTTTTATAGCCCTCAATTGGCTCTACAAAAAAGGTCGTGACGAAAATTTCTCTATCTCTTTTAGATTCCGAGATATTCGTCAAAAACTGGGCAATAGTCAAAATCGACTCAACCCGATTTACCACTTCGCTATTAAATTGATTAATTGGAATATCAGTGTGAATTCAGCAGCGAAGCAGACGACTAAAATGTTAAAAACGAAATTTTTTTTTTCAAAAATTTTGAAAACGTAAAATAGCCCATTCATGTAAAATAGCCCAAAAAATATGTCTGAAAGAATCGAAAAAATATTTTAAATATAAGGATTTTTTTTGTCCACTATACATGAATGGCGCAATATCTCACACTAAGAAGAAAAATCTTACGCCAAAAAAATTTTATACTTGTCCGAACGATGAGGACAATTTCTTCATATCAAGAAAACGAGTTCTCAAATCAATTAAAGTGGTTTTTGCATTTAAATATTTTAGAATTGAGGCTAAAAAAGTGTTGAACGCATTAATTCAATTTTACTTGGTTTGAGAAATTGTCCTCGTCTTTAAGACAAGTATAAAATTACGTGACGAAAGTTTTTATTATCTTAGCGCAAGATATTTTACACTTGAAAATTTTCAAGTCAGAAGTTTCTTTATATAAGAAAAAAAAATTTTGTTGTTGTCAGTAGAAGTCGAATTAAAAAAAAACGAATTCCTAATTGTTATTGTACACATTTTGTCTCAAATTTTGAAAAAAAACCTCTGTAGCTCAAAAATTGGAGGCCCTGGACAATTTTTAACATTTTAAGCGTCTGCGGTGCAAACGAACAATAAACAATTAATTTTTATTCCACTAATTATTCGATTTTAGACATATACAACTGATCTTCAAACCTTTGAAATCTCACTCCAATAGCCCGCGACTTCTAAACCTCACAGTAGTCTCCCCTCAACCCGTTATACCTTTCCTCTACAGAATATTCTGATAAAAAAACCTACATACAATGCACCGCCGATGCTTCACCTCTCGATTTAATTACCACTAATTTATTAATTAAAAATATAAATTGATGAAAAATTCAGCATGAGTGATCAAACTTGTTCCATTAATGAAACCAATATAACTCAGGAAAAGTTGATAATTGGCTTCACGTCGATAATTGATTTTTCTCTCCCCATTCCGGCATCAATTAACCGACGAACGCTCCAAATAACCCGATATCTCTATTTTCAGATAACCCACTGGCAGCACCCGCGCTTTCACGCATATTTCCCATCAGGAAACTCATTCCCCTCGATCCTGGGGGACATGCTGTCAGACGCCATTGGCTGTATAGGCTTTTCTTGGGCAGCAAGTCCAGCGTGCACAGAACTGGAGACAATCGTTCTAGATTGGTACGCAAAAGCTCTCAATCTGCCTTCAATATTTCTGTCGGAGCCCCACAATTCAAAGGGGGGAGGAGTGATTCAGGGCTCAGCATCGGAATGCATTTTGGTGACAATGCTGGCAGCCAGAGCCCACGCAATAAAGCTTTTGAAGGCCAAAGAGCCGTTGACAGAGGACTCGGCATTTCTCCCAAGATTGGTAGCCTACTGCTCGATGGAGGCGCATTCGTGCGTCGAAAAGGCAGCGATGATATGCCTGGTGAAGCTACGAGTCCTGGTGCCAGACGACAAGTGCTCGCTGAGAGGAGCCGCACTGGAGGCCGCCGTTGATGAAGATCTCAGTCACGGTCTTGTGCCATTCTTCGTCTCCACGACATTGGGCTCCACCGGCTGCTGCTCCTTCGACAATCTCGAGGAGATCGGCCCCATCGCTCGACGGAAACGGATCTGGCTCCACGTCGACGGTGCCTACGCTGGCAACTCTTTCATCTGTCCTGAGCTTCGTTATCTCATGAATGGAATAGAATACGCTGACTCATTCAATACAAATCCAAACAAATGGCTGCTCGTCAATTTCGATTGCTCTTGTCTGTGGGTACGTGACAGAGTGAAATTAACGTCAGCACTTGTTGTTGATCCTCTTTATCTCCAGCATGCCAATGCATCCGAGTCGATTGACTATCGTCACTGGGGCATTCCACTGAGCCGAAGATTCCGAGCCCTCAAACTGTGGTTTGTCATGCGGACTTACGGCATCAGTGGCTTGCAGAAGTACATCAGAAACCACATAAGATTGGCGTGCAGATTCGAGAGAATTATGAGGAAGAAAAAAAAATTTGAAGTTATGAATGAAGTGAAGGTCGGACTGGTGTGCTTCAGGCTGAGAGAGAGTGATGAATTGAATCAAGAGCTCTTGGCTAATATCAATGCCTCGGGCAAGCTTCACATGATTCCCTCGAGGATGAGGGGCAAGTACATAATTAGGTTCTGCGTTACCAAGGAGAACGCTAATGAGGACGATATTGACTTTGCCCTGGAGATAATCGAGGAGCACGCGACCGAGGTGTTGCTCACTCACAATGACGGCGGTGACGGCGAACTTATGGCCAAGAGCCCCAAGAGTCCGGCGCCCCTCGACAAGAAGCTCGTCAGAAAGTTCAGCTTCACCAGAAGTGTCACCAGAGATGTTTACAAAAGAACCAAATCCAAATCTGCTCTGCATGATGGTGCAACACCCATAATGGTTGTTGAGGATGGCAATTCGCAGATTGATAATGTTGAGGATGAAGCTATACGGTGCAGCAGTCGGTAGAACGCGATAAGGCTTACGGTACCGAGTAGTGAGCAGTATTTAGGGGTAACGTGAGCCAGGGCTGTAGATAGGCTTTTCAATTATCGCACTGATCTCGAAGAATTATCGAGCACCAAAGAGGTGCTCATTTGATATGCCGCGAGTCATGGCGATCTGTAGATAATTGAGTAATTGCAGATTCATCATGGTTGAGGGAAGTTAATCGCGTAGGGGTGAGTGGGGCAAAGGAGAACAGTCGAGGAACGACTGTTTGACGCAATTCAAGCAAACAAATTTTTCTTGTTAACTCTCCTGTAGACGCACATCTTCGTCGAATGTCGTTGGCCGCGTGGTCAGCGCTGCGCCGTCCGTACATTCTCGAGCGCAGCGTTGCCAGAGCCATACGACACTATAAACATATCACCCGCCAGCGACCCCTCACTCCGCACACGCTGCTTAGGACTATCACGAGGCTCGGCAACACCACTCGTCAAATTTCCGCTACGAGAGTGGTCGCACGGTGAGCGCTGCGCACATTCTCGCTAGCCGCGCTCGACAAAAAAATTAATTGAGAAAAAAATTGCCAGTGTAGGGCAACCCTACCGTGTTTAATCTCATCAGGACTTATCATTTGAGGAACTCGTTAATAGGCAAAGCGTAATTCATCACATTCATCACAAATCAGTGATTTACGGAATAGAAAATTATTATTCTCATCAGTACTCCCAATAATAAAAAAAATTGTTTTGCTTGAATTGCGCCAAATGGCATCAATGCGGCGACCCAGAATAACAAGTAAAATACCAAAGCATTTATTTCGTTTAATAATAGAAATTTGTAACCGTATTATCGAGTCATTATCTGTATACCACTTTCTCGAGAATATTTGAACAAAGTCAATTTCGAGAGAATCCCTATGATTTTTTCAATGGCAACAATGAAAAATTGTACTTGGAAAATATAAATAAATAAATAAATAAATTTATATTATCATTGATAACCATAACTTGAGCTGCCATCATAGTATATATTGATGATATGATAATAGAAAGAATAAAAATATTAACAGTTGTAGTAGTATTTATAAATGAGGAGATTTTAGTTGTATTATGAATAATGTTCCCCAATGAGCTATATTGAAGAATTGCCTTTTTGGGTAGAACATCGATCAATAATTGAATCACTCAATTAGCCGATTGAAGAACTCAATTATTAAAAATGAGTTCAATCTCATCAATCCAGTGTAGATAGCATTACTGTTATTAACTATTTGGAATAAATAATAAATAATACAGCAATCAATGAGCCTTGACATTTATTTGAAACAAGTGGGAAATTGCCCTTGTATTGAATATAGTGTAGTTATTTTTGCTAATAAATTAGCAATATGCACATCATTTCTATCATGTAAAATTCATTATTTATGTCATTTTATTAAATTGAATAAAATTTCTTTTCAACTAATTTTGTCAGATTTTCAACTAGGATGAATTTTATCATGATCATTATTCTTATTATCCCCTTATACTGTACAACCAATTGTCTTTTTTATAGTTCTATCTCACCGCTCAGCCCTTTCAATAAAATGTTAATAGAAAAATGTTATTTATACACAATTAAATGAATTTGAAACATCACATTTGAAGCTCAATTTCAGGGGAATACATGAAAAATTCGAAATTTCCAACGATCATCGTAAAAGTAAAATCAACCAATATAGCTATCGTAATCATCGTTTAACTTCAACTTAATGGCATTAAAACACACATTTTAAGATAAAATTGAATTCATTTGAAGCATGACATCCAAAGACATCCCGGGAATTCTGATTTTTAAAAAATACAGAATTTTTGCAAATTTTCAAATAAATCAAAATAACAATTATTGCTATCGCCTTCATCTTCGAATTCGCTCAAAAGAACATCCAAACAATTTTTTCATGCCATCATTCAATCAATTCAGAACATTTCTTTTTAGTTATCGCGAAGAAAACAATTTTCGAAAAATTTAAAAAATTTAAAAAATTATAAATGAATTAAATTTTAATTAATGGCGATTGATACGGCTCAACAATACCTACATCCGAGGAGAAAGAAGATTCAATTCCATCGATTCATTACTGAACAATCGAAGAAAACTTGTTTACTTACGGACACGGACTAAAAATTGCATTTCCGAAATTTTTGGATGACAATGGGTCGATATAACACGAAAAATTCAAAACTTAAATTTGAGCGATTACAATGCTTCAAATTTTTACCAGACACATTTTTAATTCTTCCCAAGACAGCGCTACTGTCGCCCGAATCCAGGAACAAGGTTATGTTTACAATTTCTGTAAACAACCAATTGCTAACCCGCGAGACTTGCCAACGAACTAAACAATCAAATAAATAACAAGAGCAGGAGATGCCGACGTGGAATCAAATTCAGGCCCAACTTCGAAACCCGAATAACCCGGTGGTGTTTTTCGATGTTTCCGTGGGAAATACCGAAATTGGTCGAATGATATTCGAACTTTTCGAAGATGTCTGCCCCAAGACTTCAGAGAACTTCAGACAATTTTGCACCGGAGAGTACCGAAAGGATGGAGTGCCATTGGGTTTCAAAGGGGCTATCTTTCACCGGGTCATCAAGGATTTTATGATTCAAGGTGGTGACTTTGTCAATGGAGATGGCACTGGAGTACTCAGCATATACGGCGGGAGTACATTTCCTGATGAAAATTTTACCCTAAAACATGACTCACCGGGACTGCTGTCCATGGCCAACAGTGGAAAAGACACAAATGGATGTCAATTCTTTATTACTTGTGCTAAATGCAATTTTTTGGACGGCAAACATGTTGTGTTTGGGCGTGTTATCGATGGACTCTTGGTCATGAGAAAGGTAGAAAATGTGCCGACTGGGCCAAATAATAAACCCAAAATTCCAGTTACCATCTCGCAATGTGGGCAAATGTAAAAACAAATCTTGTACACAATATCAAATTTCTCAATAAATTGTCTTTTATACTTGTAACTGTTGATTTGTCTTCAATTGGAAAATTAATCTCCCTGTTTAACCTAGAATTGCTCACCGAAGATGAATTTATCGTCCACTCACCCTTAAAACACGGATTTTCTCTCAATAGCTTACCAGAAATTACATAAACTCACGCTTTATCCAATAAATAACTTTATTCTCCGAGAAAATGAAATCTATGAGTGGATTTTTAACACTGAACACACGTGTGCACTGTTATTATTCTGTTTACAAACCACGAAGGCAAACCTAACCAATAAGAATAAGATACACCAGTGGGGGCCTCATCAAATGATCATCACTTTTCATTTAATCCATATAAGTATATATTTTTATCAATAAAAATTACTTTTTTTGTTCTTCATCCCACAACATAGAAAGTTATTTTCAGGTTACTCCTAGATCAATTTTATACATCATAATGAATAGTTGAACCATGAACTATTCATTACGTTAATTACAAATACAATGTTCTCTTCATTTATAGTGACTCTATCATGTCGTTTTTTAAGATAATTTTGCAATTAGAAAAAAACAAACGCATTTCTTCCAAACAACAAATCCATTGGATCCAACAAGAAATTTATCACATTGACAAAAGTGTACAAAACACATGTTGATAACACTGTTTAACAAAATTCGGACGTATTTGACCTCGAAAACAAAACAGACCCCGTCTGATAGATATTTTAATGCTGATTTCAAATTTCGTTTGAGAAATCTTTCTAGCACGTCTAGTTTTCGAGAAAAAAAATATGAAATGTTAAAAAACTGCTAAAATGAACAATTTGAAAAATTTAGAAAAAAGGAATGGACGTGGTTTTTCACGTAAAATGTAAAATGAGGTCAGTCTCGTTTCTGCGGTCGACGACATCCGACTTCTGTGAAACCGTGTAACATCACAACAGCCAAGCCCCCTTTAAATATGAATTTTAACATGCTCCATAAGATTATTCTTATCCCCAAATTCGTCCCCACATATCCCGCAGATGATTTCCATCTCCCTCTCATCGTCACTCTCCTGATAAACCCCCTCCTCAATGGTCTCAATTTCTCCCCCAAACTCCTCACCTTCATTGGGAATAGCAAGAACAGGCAGGGCTTCATTCTCCTTACTAATGATCTGCAGTGTGCTCTCTTTATCATCAACGAACTGCACCCTCAGCACATGACTGACCTCCTCTTTCACAACTTCCTTGACCTCCTCTTGCTGGTCCCCTTGCAGATCCTCTCCAGCTTCCTCAGTGGCCACGAGCAGAAGCGTCTCGCCGTCCTGGATCTTGGCGAGCTTTGGCTTGCCCTTTCCTTTGCCCTTCTTCTTACTGCTCTTTGTACTCAGCGGATCAATGACACTCTTGGCCTTGGCCTCCGCAATCATCTGATCCGAGTGCTTGACAATGTGAGCACACAGCTCATCCCTGTCCTGATTCAAGGCCCCACAGAGAGGGCAGGGAAAGGGTGGGCCAACAACTTCAGTCTCGTTCTTGCCAGCAGCATGAACCCATCTCACATGCTCTCTCAACACCACCTTCTGATTGAACGCCCTCGAGCACAGAGGGCACACGTGTGGTCTCTCCCCAGTGTGAATTCTCTCGTGTTTTCTCAGTGTGCCACCGTCCCTGAAAGCCTTCCAGCAGAATTTGCAGCCATAGGGCCGCTCCCCAGTGTGAGTTCTGTGGTGTATCAGATAGCCCTGTCTCGAGGAGAATGTCTTGGAACATGTGTCACATTGAAAATGCGCTGGCCCCTCGGCGTGTGTTCTAGTGTGCTCCCACAAGCCCTGTCTCGACACAAAACACTTGCCACACTCTGGACATGTGAACGGAGAGATCCCAGGGTGTGCTGATAATCTGTGCTCGTCCAGCTGATTTTGCTTCTCAAATTGGGCACCACAAACTTCACAGGAATGTGTCTTCTTCCGATGGATCCATTGATGGCGGAACATCTTCTGCTTGGTGGTGAATTTTTTGCCGCACTCAGAGCAGGCGTGCTTGGACCACTTGCCATTGGCATTGTCACCATTGCTGAGCATCAATTTTTTGGCGCACGTTGTCTGGTGTGAGGCCAAGTGATTGCTGTCCTGAAATTGCTTGTCGCAGAATTCACACTCTATCGGCATCGTCCAGGCTTTGTGAATCTTCTCGTGGGACGCCAGGGCGGTGGCTCTTGTGAAGCCAATGCCACAGTGGGTGCAGGTGAACTGCCCTGGCTTTTGCTCCACCTCAACTGTCACGAATTGGCCCTTTCGCTGCTCAAATGGCAGACCCTCCAGGTTGAGGTTGTACGTCTGAGGATACTCGAACTGGGCAACCTCGCCATTTGGCAATACCGTGAACTCCTGAAGCTCGAGTTTCTCCTGGTCCAGTTCGTTCTGGTCAGTCTGGAATGTGTAGCTCTGCCAATTCACCTGGGTCACTTGGTAATTCTCAACTGTTTGACCTGAACATGTTGGAGACTGCGACAAGTTGTCTGATTGGGAAATCAAAGCCCTTCCTGCCACGTACGTGTGGATTTTCATGTGATTGGAGAGGGACGATGGCCTCTGGAAATCTGCTCCGCATATTGTACACTTGTGGGACTTCTCCTGATTGTGGACTTGGGTTATGTGAGTTTGGAGGCTGGATTTCGAGCGGAAGAGGTTGCCACAGGTTCTGCAGGCGTGGGGACGATCCACCTGGTGGCAAACCATGTGGTTATTCAGGTCTAGTTTTCTCTCGAATTTCTCGCCACACGTTTGACAAGAGTATTTGCCAAAATTCTTGCTTCCTGATAATGGCTCTCTCTTTGTCGAACAACTTTTACTCATCGGGGGTTTGTCAGAGGGGGGTGTAGTGGGGTCGTTCATCGATGAATTTGGTATTTTTGACTTTTCGTCGAAAGTGGGGTACATTCCCCCCAATTGACGGAGCGCCTCGACTGCCATTGACTCGTCATCGCCAGATGTGTACTGGGGGATTTCCTCTTGTTTTATGTAGATTGGGTAGACGATGGAGTTCTCGTCGTCCTCGGAGGAGGTTTTATCACCGAGAATCTCCGCGTGTGTCTCGGAGAGAACTGATACCGTCGGCTCGCACACCTCCTCGTGGGAAATTATTGTTTGCTGAAGGTCGTGGACTGAGGACAGGGAGTACGTTATGTACTGCTCATTGTCCGATGTTTCCATTATGTAATTTTGCTGCTTTTTCTCTTCACTTGTTTTACGGTCGATTGGGTGGCGGTCTGGGGGGAATTATCGGGGATTTTTGGAACCTGCTGGTGAATAAAGCTCATTTTAGCAGGAATTTTTTGCTATTTTCGCTCGGTAAATGAGGGTTGGCTATTTTACTTACTGCACTTTCCCAGTAGTGAAGAGGTGATAATTGAGTTTTTTTTTCTTTATGAAGGACCTGGATCACTCGGAGATTATTCGCTGGGCTTCAATTGTAGTTTTCGACATTATTGGGGAGTTGATGGGGTTCCCTTCATCACTGACAATGAGAATTGACGAGGTTAACTTTGCTAAAATTATTTTGCCCCTCTCCACTTTGGGGGTTGTTGGGTTTGCTGTGAAGTTGGGTGAAAATCGAAGGGCTTCCGTCTCGCTCTCTCTCCTCTCTCAGACGACTTCGGAGGAATGGTGAGAATCAAAATGGCGGTTCGCGGTAGCTTCGAATGATACAATTAGTAGTGTTACAAATTAAAAATAAAATAAGTTTGTAAATTATTCGTGTCAGGCTTGGATTGAGGCCTTTATCAGAGGATTGACAAAAGTCTTTAGTTGCGACTAGAGGAAATTATGAGAAAATATCGCCGTTTCGTTCGATAAACAATTGGTGCAGTTTTGAAAAAGAAAATCCGAATTTTCTTAATCATTTTCGAAGTCTTTCCGATGGTTAAAATGTATTATCAATTGTAGTGACAACGATTTTCAGTAATTCCTCTCGATTGTCAATGTAAACCCAATTTTTCGTTGAATTTTCGAGCGGTTGTGGACTTGAAACTCAGCTCTGTGGTGGCTAGAGAAGTGTCAAAGTTCAATGTTGAAACATTGAAGCATCAGATCAGAAAATATTCAAGATAGACCGTAAGTATTGGTAAGTGATCGGTTGTAAAGAAGAAATTTATGGATAAATCGAAATGATGTCTCAGGGAGAAAATGAAGTCACACGAGTCAATGAGAGGCTGGTCGTTGATTTGGTGGTTATTCACGCTGTTCGGGATACCAGTGACGTTCCCATGGCTACTTTACCACATCTATGACATCCTGAAGAGAAGACGAAGGCTGTCGACACTTCGTGGAAAGGTAATTTGGCTTTTCACGAAATTTTTTTTTGAGATTCATTGGGGACTTTTCAAGGTTGTCATGATCACTGGAGCTAGTTCTGGACTTGGAGAGGCTCTGGCGCATGTATTTTATTCCTCTGGATGTCGTCTTATTCTCGTAGCAAGACGAAAAAATGAGTTGGAGAGGGTCAAGAATACTCTCATGCATACTCATCATGTAAGTCAAATTATATTTTCAACTTTTTTCTCTCTAAATGCTACGGGAGAGTGCAAGCAAAAAAAATTTTTTTTGTCGACTTTTTTTTTATCAACTTTTTCTTTTATAAGACCTCGTCATCACTGAGTCTATGTTCTCTCCTCATTCGAAACCCCCGAAGATTTTTCATATATTTTTTTATATCGAGACGACAATATTCATAATTTTCACTAATTTTATCCGCAGTTCTCTTTTCAAATAGTATGAAATATTTCATCTATAATTCAATTGATTAGATTAGGGCGATTACTTTTTTCTTTTTTCATTTGATTGAAATTCAGCATCACATTTTTCTTTTTCCCCTTCTGGGTATCCCCCTGGGGCTTCCTCTGGACTTTAGATTTTGCTGTTTCATTTTTTATTCAATTAATCCATTGACAAAATCTTCTCACGTCACAGCTTCTCAATAATTTTCCATTCTACTGAAAAATTAATAAACGAAAGTTGATCAGCAAAGTAGTTGTTAAAATTTTTGAATTTAATTGAATTCGTAGACTGTACCAACGCACCCACCGGTAGTTCTCTCAGTGGACTTGACAGAGGTCAATAATTTACCAAAAGAAATTGACAAACTAATCCAGATTCATGGCAAAATTGATGTGCTAATTAATAATGCTGGTATATCTTATCGGGGAGAGGCTTCCAGTACGGAAATGGATGTGGATATTAAAGTCATGTTGATCAACTACTTTGCACAAATTGCATTGGCCAAAGGTATATTTTTATCACTCGAGTGGAGAAAGATTGTCTAATTTTATCACTACATTTTCACAGCAATTCTACCATCGATGATAAAACGACGATCTGGACATATCGTCTGTATTAGTAGTGTACAGGGAAAGATTGCTATTCCCTACAGGTATGTCAGGCATATAATGTTTTTTTATTACTTCCGAACAGAAGTATTGTAATCGGTCAAATTTAATTTTTGCATTTTTCGTGTTATATCGACCCATTATGATCCAAAAAGTCCGAAAATGCAATTTTTAGACCGTATTGTTGAGCCCTATCAATCGCCATTAATTAAAATTCAATTCATTTATTAATTTTTAAAATTTTTGAAATTTATGAAAAATTAAATATATTTTTAAATATATTTTTGTTTAAATATATCATTAATATCGTTATATATCATGATTATCAAATATATCGTTTATATATTTTTTTATTTAAATATATTTTTTAATTAACTAAAAAACGATTTTAAAAAAACCTCATTACAACAATTGTCTGGGATAGATCGGCCTACGGAGCTTCCAAGCACGCTCTCGGAGCTTGGTGTGACTCAGCGAGGGCTGAATTAGCTGGGAGTAATATTAAAATTATGGTCATTAATCCCGGATACATAAAAACAGATTTGTCATTGAATGCATTGACCGGCTCGGGTGATAAATACGGAGGTGAGCATTTTATCTGTAATTATCATCTCGTCAATTTCGATACAATGATCGTCTTTAACAGATGGCAATTCCACTCGACTACGATTCGATTGTTGATTTTTGTTTTTTCAGTGATGGATAAGACAATCCAGGAAGGCTATTCACCTGAGTACGTGGCTAAACAAGTTTTATCTGCTCTTCTGAGGGACTCTAGCGAAGTGACAGTGGCCCCACTTCTCCCCAGATTAGCACAATTCATTCGCTATGTCAGTCCAGCGCTTTATTTCTTCATCATGGAGAGGAGAGCGAAAAAATTGGCGAAAGGAGAGTGAAAAAAACTTGATTATTCTCTTTTCTTTACTTTGACAAGTTGATTGTCGTTGAACGCAACTTTGTCTTGCATGATCTTTAATTTAAGAGTATGTTTTTGTCAATAGAAGATATTCGTTGAAGTTTGTAAAATACAAATATTAATTGTAAAGAAATTGGCGAAAGTATTTTTAATATACTAGACGAAATTGCATTTTATTTTCAACTACTTACATATTTTTATCAATTCTTGAAATGTTCTCTTTATACACCAAGTTTTGTTTTCTGGTCAATGGGATTGTGCTTAGTTACTCATTTATTTGTTCATAACATTCTGGAATGGCACATACCATTTCTTGAAATAAAATATGGAATTGAACAAAAAGCAGTACTCAAATATCTTTTGTAGAAAAAAAAAATTGAGTCAAGAAAGGAAAAAAAGCAATTTTGCATCATTTTTTCTTTATTTTGAAACGAAAAAATCAATCGATAAAAAATCATTGTTCTGGTTTCACTGTCCCCAAACACAAGGAAACATGAGACAAAATGGGACGTCTCTGGCAAACTGTGTGACACTTGTTTTACATGAAAATTGGGGGAAAATTGACTTTAACAAATAATAGCAACTGAATCGTATGAGAGTCAAGTTGACGCGTATCCTCCAATGTCCCAACAGTAGCAACAAATTTGTTTCATTTTCATTTTATACTGTGTATTCTACCTATTTTATTTACAGATTAAAAAATACAGTGAACTCTAATATTTATTGCTCTCTCACCGGTAAAAATAAAATATTTTGTTTTTTATTTTCTTTCTAAACGAACAATTGATAAACCAAAACTCCTCATTCTCAAATTCCTCCAGAGTGTTTTACAGTCGTTTGACATAGCGACAAAATCATGCCCCAAAAAAATCCTTCAACTAATGAGGAAGGAAAATGCTGAAAAATATCCTATGTGTATGTGGGAAGGGAGCGGAAAGTCATTTGTCGTTTAACAACTATTTTGTATTATTTATCCCCTCTTAAGTTTTTCGTGGAGTTTGTTGTTTCATTTCAATGCTTGATAGAGCCTCCATGCACAGATACTGAATGCAGTGAGGGTAATTGTTGTATGGAGTATTCTACGTCTTTTGTCATCTTTTCTTACGAGAAATGTTGGGGATGAAGGTCCCAGAACAGCTAGAAGTTCAACATGAGGTAATTTACTCGTGTCAGTTTCTACTTGATATTGGCAGCATGGATCAAATTGCCATGATACTGTGTAAAGTCCACAAGTTACCACAGCTGTTATTCCAAATGTACCGCAAATGTATGGTTTGTCGCCCCAAACAACACCTGAAAATACCCACTTATAATTTACATTTATGAAAGAAAAAAGTGCCATAGTTAATGAATTGTTTCCATTCACATATGAAGATTAGTTCGATGGCTAATATAGGGGAGGGTGGGACAATATGGACACCAGTTTATAAAAACGAACACGTTGTCGTAAGACTGCGTCCTAGGAGTTGTAAGGTAAAGCAAAAACGGGGTAAAATGGACACTTCGATTTCTTCCTCAATTTTTTATGTTTCAATCAACAATGTTATTCAATTTCCGAAACACTAGTCATGACTGCGATTTTCAAATTGAAAAAAAAACTCATTTTTTACTTTTGTCGTGGGGGGGTGGTAAACCAAATTTTTCTTTGCTCATTTATCCTCCACTCATCCCATTGTTTTATGGTGATTTCCTTTGTAAGTAAAAAAGTAGCCGTCTTACAAATTTGGCAAATGGACAAAAGGTCAGTTGTGTTGGGCGTGCAATTGTTCATTGAAAAAAATAAATAATTTCAAAGTTATTTCAATAGTAAAACAGGAAATTCAAAGCTACTCTATATTTCAAACTTCAATGCAAAATTTAATAGAGTTGAAGTTGACTTGTTAATATCTCTTCCAAATCTCATTTCTCTCCATTAAAAGATACCGACACGATTCTGTTGGAAATTCTCTGTTGAAAATTTTCTTGATTAAAAGTTGAATAGGACCAACTTTTTCGGCTGTCCATTTTACCCAACTCTTGAATAATTTTTCGGTTGTGGCCTTTGACGGGAAACAATTATTTAAAATTCGATTATTGGAAATTTTTTGAGCGTCCATTTTACCCCACACCCTCCCCTAGAGTGATGATTTTGGCGTGGTACCAGTGATGATAGCGGCTATTCCAGACAGCGATGCTGTCTTATGAAGGCAATTCCCCACAGTAATCCACCTGGAGGTCTCATCTCCAAGTTTCGATGGCTCAATGACAATCAGATTGTATTCAGCCTCGAGTGCTCTCTCCAATTCATATTCGAAAGCCTCATGTGCATTCGCACTGTCGTAGACTTCTCTGATGATTGCCACAGTCGCTGATTCATCTCTGAGTTAATTTGAATGTGAAAACATCATAAAATTAGCAACATTTCTTCCTCTCATAAATTCACAAATGACGTGAAAAATTTATCATCGAATGAACTATAAAATGACGAAAATCTCATTCCTGAGCTTTGCATTAATTATTTCAAGTGAAACCAGTTACATAAGCTGTTGATATACAGAGGGGAAAAAATATATATTCCAATAAAGTGACAACAATGAGACGCTCGGTCTCGCAACTATTTTCGGATTAACTAGAGAAACACGACAATTTCTGTGACTCAGAAGAAATCGTGAGACAACAATTTTCTCATCAACTGGGGGTATTTTTATTCCCAAAATTCGTTTTCAGGATAAATCGATAGCGTCACTGGTGCTCGAGTGATATCCAGGAGTACAGATAAACACCCAAAAGGATTGAAAATTTGAATATTTCAAGATTTGGCAATTAATTGTGGACAGATTGTCATTCTCCTTTAAATACCCGAGAACGTTGTTGAAGCCGAGAGATGTGAAAAAGTTATTTCATGATGAAGATTTAATTTTTTAAAAATTTTAGGTTAGGCCGGGTATCTTTGTATGTTTTGGCGAATCCTCAACGGTTTTCCTTTCAGTTTTTTGTTTTCACGGTTTTATGGCCCTCTCAATAGCCGATTTTTTGGGGTAATTGGGTTTACTATTAATGATTTTTGTTACAAACCTGTCACCAGCTTCATCTACCATGTTTTCTCGTGTTTAGGGGAGCTGGACTGGTGAATTCAACCGACCAGCGGCCACTGGATCACTCCACTGCACCCACGTGAATTGCGAAACACTGGACTTTGTGTTTGATCCAATGGAAATGGGGAATATGTGGAATTGGACACTTCTCCGCTCTTATTTGAATTTCAATTGGTTATTGCTAAACAAGTGGCCAATTGCTCTTGTATTGAATATAGTATAGTTACTTTTACTAAATAAAAAATTAGCAATATACTTCCGAATGATTATTTTGCACTTCATTTCCTTTCATCACGTATAATTCATTGTTCATTTCATTTTATTAAATTGAATAAAATTTCTTTTTAACAAATTATTGATTGAATGTTATCATCGGCATTATTCTTATTATCCTTTCTTCTACACACCCAATTGTCTTTTTTACAGTTTTATCTCTCCCCTCAGCCCTTCGATAAAATGTTAATAGAAAAATATTATTTATGCATAATTGGATTCATTTGAAGAAACCATTGGAAAACTCACTTTCAGGGAAATTCGTGAACAATTCGAAATTTTCAACAATAATCGACAAACAATTTTTTTAAGCTATCATTCAATGAATTCAGAACATTTTTTTAGTTTTTGTGAAAGAAACAATTTTTGAATAATTTAAAAAAATTGATAAATTAATGAATGAATTTAATTTTAATTAACGGCGTTTGATAAGGCTCAACAATACCTACATTTGAGGAAAAAAAAGATCCAATTTCATGAATTCATTAGCGAATAATCGAAGAAAAATTTGTTTACGTATGCACATAAGATCTTCCAATCGGAAGCAAAAATTCAACCAATGTTCATATTAAAATAATTTATTTACTTTCATACAATTGATATACACGTTTAACACTTGAATGTCACATCAAACTCGGCTGAATGATTCTCTCATCAAGCAAAAATGGAAATAATATTCAAGATAAACTCTGTTACACATTAGCTTACATTATTCCATCAAATGTATTTCTACTGAATTATCATTCTCAATTATCTGTACAAAAAATTCGTATTTTTTTCCTCTCAGGCCTAAAAAAAAGCTCATGAGAAGAAGAAAAGTACACACTTAAAAATATGGCAACAAACATTTTTTTTTCTACAATTTGATTTGTTATTTTCAAAATAAAACAACGAAAAAATTGGTGACTAAGTACATTGAAAGTAAATTTGTGCGCCTTTGATGAATCAGATCATTTTCCATCTCACAAACTGGCCTTGGCATCTATTTATTAAATTTATAATAAATAAAATAATATTTTTTATCAGATCATCATTTCGTAAACGATTAAATATGACATAACATCAATAGAAAAATTATGCAAGTTAAAAATTGTCATTATCTCTGAAATGTCCACTCGAACAAGTTTCCTCCTCGAGGTAATTTTATTTCCATTTTTAAGTTCATTTAGAGATTAAATTTTTTTATTCCTAGGGGGCGATTTATTTGGGGTCACGCATCACCAGGAGTTGGCGTTTCATCCTCAATGGCAGCATGTGGATGGTTGTATTGTAACGCTAATTCACGGGCTTTTTCAGTCCATTTGTGGCCATCGGCTAATACTCTGGAAAATTAATCATTTCTTCAAATGAGCACGTATGAAAAAAAATAATTAAAAAATTTAGCGAATTCGCTAGAAAATTCTATTGGAATTCTCTCCAAATTCGATGGAGATTCCACTCAAATTCTAGGGAATTAAAATTATTGGACACGGATTTTCCAAGTTTTTTCCACTATATTTCGTTTTGCATGACAGGATCCGCGTAAAAAAAACTTGGAAAATTCATGCCCAAATATTCTTACAGAAAAAATTCCAAGAGAATATTCATATAGAAAAATTGAAAACTATTGACTTTTTCCTATCAAATATCCCACAGAATCAGCACAAAAAACAAATAGTATTTTAACGAGAATTTCCTAGAAATTTCTAGCAAATTCGCCAAGTTTTTCTACTGAATTTAATCATACGTGAGAATACTTTATGTGTACAGTAACAAGATGTAAAATAGGTTTGTAATACAAACTTCTGAGATGATAAAATTGAAGAATAATGACATTAAAAAATAAGAAGGAAAATGAGTCAACACAATAATAAGAAAGCGAGAAAAAATATTACCGACTCAGATACGAAATTTCACTCCTCATCAATGGCTTTGATTTTGATAACTAAAAAACGGAAATAAAAAAATGAATTTGTACGAAAATAGAACGAAGTGGTCTTCGACAGTGAAATCCTCGTGTCAAATGAAATATTGATGAAACGATTGAATTCAATTCACCTCCTTGTATTATCACTAACTACACTGTCAGGTGTTCCGTATTCCGGTGGGTTTGCATAGGGATCATATCCCAATACTGACAGCATCGGCGCTATTTCCGCCATGTCCCTAACAACGTCCTCGGGAATATTGCCGACCCACTTGGTCAGAGCTTCTAAATTTATTGGTTTTATTACTTGATCCGAAGATCTTTCGACTCTGGAACAAAACATTCATTCATCACTTGATTAAATTCAGAGAGAGTGATAATCTCTCTATCTCTCTATATTATAAAAATCCAAATCGAAATTAAGACTCCACAATTAAGGGTTACGAAGGTCAAAATCTTCATGTGGGTCGGAATAAGGCGCATACGGATCAATCTAATCACCAGGATCAAATTAAGGGTCATGAGGGTGAGAATAAGGGTCCCGAAGGTCAGAATGAGGGTCATGAGGAGCAGAATAAGGGTCGCGAGGATGATGACTGTAAAAATAGAGGTTACGGGGGGCAGATAAGGGTCATGAGTGGCAGAATAAGGGTCATGAGGGTAACAACGGTCAGAATAGGGGTCACGAGGGTGTGATTAAAGACCACAGGAGTCAGATTAAGGGTAGTGAGGGTCAGAATAAGGTTCATGAGGGTTGGAATAAGGGTCGTGAGGGTTAGAATAAGAGTCGTGAGGGTCAGAATAAGGGTCGTGAGGGTTAGAATAAGGGTTGTGAGGGTCAGAATAAAGACCGCGAGGGTTAGAATAAGGGTCGTGAGGGTTGGAATAAGGGTTTTAAGGGTTAGAATAAGGGTTGTGAGGGTCAGAGTAAGGGTCGTGAGGGTCAGAATAAAGGCCGCGAGGGTTAGAATAAGAGTCGTGAGGGTCAGAATAAGGGTGGTGAGGGTTAGAATAAGAGTCGTGAGGGTCAGAATAAGGGTCGTGAGGGTTGGAATAAGGGTCGTGAGGGTTAGAATAAGGGTTGTGAGGGTCAGAATAAAGGCCGCGAGGGTTAGAATAAGGGTCGTGAGGGTTGGAATAAGGGTTGTGAGGGTCAGAGTAAGGGTCGTGAGGGTCAGAATAAAGACCGCGAGGGTTAGAATAAGAGTCGTAAGGGTCAGAACAAGGGTCGTGAGGATCACAATAAGGGTCGTGAGGGCCAGAATAAGGGTCGTGAGGCTTAGAACAGGGGTCACGAGGATCAGATTAAGGGTGACAGGGGTATAATGAGGGTCAAATTAAGGGTCACGAGGGGCAGAATAAGGATGAAGGGGGTCATATGTGGGTCATATGGGAGTTGGTGGAGCGAGCAGGAGGCGTAACCCCCCATTTGATTAATAAATTGGCAACTCACTTGCTGAGCGGGACACCTCCAGGCTTATTTATGTATTCCTCGTGATGGAGGACCGACTCGCTCCACGACAAATCCAGGAAATTGAGAATTTTCTTGAGCCAGACACGTGGATGTAATACTAGCTGCTCGTATGGTACCATAAGGCATCTATCAGAGCCAACTTCCTTGCATTGTGAGTGCATCTGGGCAATTGCATGATTCCATTTTGTTAGACACTGTCGGTAGGATGTCAAATCGAAGCCCGTTATTGTCACCTGTGTGTGGAAGACATTTTTACAATTCAATATTGCAAAAATACTAATTAAAAGTCATACTAATTGGAACAAGTGGGAAATTGCTCTTGTATTGCATATAGTATAGTTATTTTTGCTAATAAATTGGTTATTTTGTGCAACTGATTGTTCATTTCATTTTATTAAATTGAATGAGATTTCTTTTTAACTAATTTTGTCAGATTTTCAACTTAGTTGAATGTTATCATCGTCACTATTCCTATCATCCCATTCTTCTATACAACCGATTGTCTTTTTAAAAATTTTAAAATTTTGAATCTGAAAATTTGGAATCCACACCTAGACCCCCGTATGTAAAACCCTCTCCCCATTGATAAAACCACCGTTCAATAAAATTCCCCCATATATGAAGCCCCCTCTTTGCAAAATCTCCCCTCGAAAATTGAGAAAATTCTCTAGATTTTAGAAAATATTTATTCGACAATTGAGTATATTTTGGCTTAAAATTAATCCCACTTTTGATCATTAATTTTAAACGATTTTTTTTTAAAGCTAATCCACTTTTTTTCTCTGTGAAAAACAAAAAAAAATTATCACCTTTCTGGATATTATCGAGTGCACGGTAGCTCGGCCGTCCCTCACCATAAAAAGAAATTTCGCATTAGGAAATAAATCCAGCATATAAGAGCCCATTTTGAGTGTCAAGGGATCTTTATTGCACAATCGGGGGGCTGGCTCGCCGTGTCTCGCAATAACTTCCAAACAAAATGCTGCCACTGCACTATCCATTACCTAATAAAACGTAGAAATGTTTACTTATTTATTTATTTTTCACCGACGATTGGTATTTTCATTTTCTCACATCTTTGGAAATTCCTGCTTCCGTGAGGCGTATATTCTCTCGCTCTGATTTCAACCAATGCTGGCGCATCTGAAGAATTCTAGGTATTATTCTCGTTTCTTGGCCGCATCTGGGCGAAGAAAAAGTAGATATTGAGAATTTAATCAATTGTAAGATAAGAATTTCATCAATTCTCATTAAGGGGAGACTACTATGAGTTTTAAAAGTCGTGGGTTATTGGAGTGAGACTTTTCATACGTTGAAGATCGATTATGTAGATCTGAAAACGAATAATTAGTGCAAACAAAAATTTTTTCTATTGTTCGTTTGCCCGAAAACGTTTAAAATGCCAGAAACAGTCCAGGGCCACCAATTTTTGAGCTGCGAAGGATTTTTTTTTTTCAAAATTTTCGGAAAAATATGTGGAATAACAATTACAAGCTAGTTTTTTTTTAATTCGCCTCTTACATGACTAAATTTCCTTTTTTTGTATTTTTTTACAGAAATAGTAATTTTTTTTATATGAAAAAAACCGAAATCAGCTGTGTAGGAGTCGAATTCCAAGAAACTGGCTCGTAATTGTTGTTCCACAAATTTTTCCGAAAATTTGGAAAAAAAAAATCTTTTGTAGCTCAACAATTGAAGGCCCTGGACTGTTTTTAGCATTTTAAGCGTTTTCGGGTAAACGAACAATAAAAAAAATTTTTTTTTGCACTAATTATTCGTTTTGAGCTCTACATAATCGATCTTGAACGTATGAAAAGTCTCACTCCAGTAACCCACGACTTTTAAAACTCATAGTAGTCTCCCCTTAAATGAAGGAAAAATAAGATGAACTGGTATTACCTGACTTCGGGATGAGCGTCCAACATAGCTCGCATCAGGGTAGTTCCTGACCTTGGTACACCACCAATGAAAATCAATGGCATATTCCTATCATACGGATAGTTCTTCTTGTCAGTAGCCCCAATGATATATTTCTGCGATGAAAAACTCATATCATTGACAAATCCAACGTTTTGGAAGAAATACTTTTTAGGAGAAAACGGAGGCATTCAACGAAATGAATAAAACTACAGATTAAGAAAACAGGGATTATCAACTTTGTATTTCTAGGGTATAATTTACAACTTCCGAGTAATATCCTGGCTTATTGCTACTTCTTCCTTGTTTCGAAACTCAACATTATTATGTCTTTCGTATGATTTACTCTGTCGACCTTAGTGCCGCTCAATCCACCCAGAATAAACTTCTTGGGAAAACTCATTTCCTTTCATCATCATGTTTAATAAGAAAACTCTTGTATTTCAGATCTACCGCAGCGCTATCGCCATTGCTCATGAAATGAAGAGAATGTTCGTGGAATTTCTTTTGTGAATAACTTTCCCCCACAATTGTTAATAAATAATCGATAATGAGGGAGAATGAAACTAGTCCTATCCAGATTTTGAAGCAATTCCAACGAACAAAAACAAGAGAAAAGGGGTGACGGCGCATGACAAATCTTAGTGTAGCGAGTAAATGTGGAACGCAATTTTCGTTCAAGTCCTCTCCATACATCACACTTCTCTCGGAAATATATCTGCAAAACGCTCACCGGAAGTAAGTGGTCAATAAATATCACTTTTCATATATTCAATTTGTTAACTGAAGTTTACAAAGCTGTCAAGCGAAAAAATGATGTTATTTAATTTTTCCTCGTGTGTACACGGAGAGAATTAAATAGTAAACATTACCACGGCCATAAGAGAGATTACTACGGTAACATAGTAAAAGGCTCTGTTTACAATGTTCCATAGTAATGCTTACACTTAAAGATTATTGAAAACTGCAAAAACATTGCAGAAAACTCGATTAGATTCGGAATTCGGGCAAACGAACAATAAAAAAAAAATTTTTTTTGCACTAATTATTCGTTTTCAGATCTATATAATCGATCTTCAGCGGATGAAGTCTCACTCCAATAACCCACGACTTTTAAAACTCATAGCACTCTGGCCTTGATGTTTTTAATTATTTAGAATAATTTCATTATGTGTTATAGGACATTTTACGTAACAGGGAGCTCTACTATGTTAACATTACCATTTAAGGAGCTTACTATGCCCCATAGTAATCCTTAGAAAACTTTGTTAACGTTTACTATGTGTGGATTCCGACATAGTAATCTTCACTATTTTATTTTCTCCGTGTAATGAGAAGATGATTCATTGCATATTTGGTTCACGAGACTCTGTACATGCTCTCACGTGATATAACCACGGGTGTTCGCCTCGTTAATCATTCAATAGTGGAGAATCGATTCTGGCATAATAATATAACGAAAGGTATGAAGAGCAACGAAATAAGGGGAAGCGGAGTTTTGAGAGTCTGGAGAGAAGAGAAATGTTGGCTACATGACGTGGGATATTAAATCGTTGCTTATAAGTCACGATCCAAGTTTCCGTCACTCGATATTCATATGGAAACTTTAGATCAAGTAAAATACAAGCTTGAGCCGCAACATTTTTCATTTTTCATTAATATATCATAGAAATTTAAATAAGGTAATTACCATTTAGCATTTTTTTGTCGCACGAAATATTCTCCTCGAACATGTTTGAGCTATTCCACACAGCGAAATGCTGACAAATTTATTCATTGTTTTCAAGATAATGAAAAAGTTGAAATTATTCTGCAATTTTTTCCCAACTATTTTTCATGTTTCACATTATTTTCCATTTTTACCTCTTGTCACATTTTTTTCCTAAGTCCTACCTTTATATCTACCCCCCAGGCCCCTCTATCTTGCTCACCAACACGTATACTATATTCATTCTGCGGTATGATGTATACTTTTTGTTCATTTCATTTCTATTCCTTTTCTGATCCTTTGTTTCAAAGTGGGATAGTGGCACGTTCTATGGGCCATTTTAACCCGTAGGATATTAATGAGTATATATCGTCCGTTGAGAACAAAAGAGGTGATAAAAAAACATACAGAGGGTGATGAAAAGTATTGCCAAGAGAGTGTTGTGGTGAAGCGACTCCAAAAGGGTTGGGATGTCATCAGTGAGAATTTTCCTTTGACGCATCGACATGGTCATGGTTTCCCACTTGCCTAGAGGTATTTCTTTCTTTACGGAAAAATAAATCATTTTGTTTTCGAATGGAAGTATTCAAGCCTTCTATTTTTAGATTCTCTAATTTTGCTTGGAAGTTATGTAGAATGGTCTGAAACGAAAACATACGAAGTTTGACCACCCCGTGTGTGTGTGGTGGACACAAATTTTTTAAGCTATCATTCAATGAGTTCAAAACATTTTTAGTTATTGTGAAAAAAACAATTTTTGGAAAATTTAAAAAATTTGAAAAATTGATAAATAAATTAAATTTTAATTAGTGGCGATTGATAGGGCTCAATAATACCGACATTTGAGGAAAAAGATTCAATTCAGTCGGTGCATTAGCGAACAATCGAAGAAAAATTTATTACGGCCCCGGTCTAAAAATTGCATTTTCGGACTTTTTGGATCGCGATGGGTCGATATAACACGAAAAATTCGAAACTTAAATTCGAGCGATTATAATGCTTCCGTTCGAAAACATACCGTTAATTTACTGATGACGAAGAAAGCATTAAAACATCACTCAGTGACATGCTCACAGTCATATAAACCCTCACTGTCATTCGCTCGTTGCCCTCTGTTTGTTTTTATTCTGGCCAAGTAATTTGTCCAATTGTGTTTCACCATATTTACATAATTTTTAATGTATTGAATTCACGCCACCTAATTAATGGAAAAGAGAATTCAGAGAATTGAAAATGAACAAATGACATTTTTATTCAACCATCAATTCCCCGAAGTTTTGACTGTTCAGTATAGGGGTAGAAGTTTCATCGATCACACCATTGTATTATTTTCGACCACAGAAAAGAGCAAAAAAGGAACGAGGAGCGGTGGAGTAATGAGAGACGTCTAAAACGAGACGTGCCTCACCTAGGTTCGATTTTCATGACACCAAGGTACAAAGAAAACGCCTCATTACGCGACAATTTGGATTATCGAGTCTTTTTGGTACGTGTTTTAGTGATCAAAGTGATTAGTTGAATAATGAAGACTCCGGTGTGGGTCTCTCATTAGATCGAAATTGGGAAAAGTTTGAAATTTCACTGGAAATTAATCCCAATTAGAAAATCTCCGTGAGGCTAATGAATGCCCGATCATCAGAGGATAAGAATTTCAAACATTTCCTCTCGGTTACCATTTAATCTTCATACTTTATTTTCTCATCTTAAAAAGGTTCATACGCGCAAAATTTTTGCCGTAAAAGGCGCTAATTAAGTTTACTGTCACCGTCGTTTTCTCGCTTTTATGACGTCAAGAGGTTCAGCCTCGCGGTCTCCTCTGAAACTTTCAACCCTTCTTCTCTCTTCCTTCCTCCCCCTTTCCACTCCTTCGCCACAATTTTCACGCTTTTCGGAACGACAGAGGCTCCAAAAGGCCGCAAAGAGAACGTGACTTCAAATGGATGCGAAAAAGGGTGTTGAAACCTTTTGCAAAAGTTGACGGCAATGAGTTTTTTTTTATTGCATTTTGTAGTTTTAATGACTTTCTCAACAAGAGAGAGAAGTATAAATATATACACTGAGAGAAAAACGACAAAGTTCTCAAACAAGTCTTACTTGTGCCAAGTAAATAGTTTTTTGAAAATTATCAAAAAAGGATTTTTTTGTGCCAAACATGCAGAGAGTGCGCCGGAATGAAAAATTTTGGTCGCAAAAATAGATTTAGTAGTTAAAAAAAAACTGCATTCTCTGTACTGAGATATTTTCATCATGAAAAGGCACCGTCTGGTGTGAATTATCCGCCTCTTGAGCCAAATATTTCGTTGCTGTCGAAAGCGGAAAAATTATTCATGTTCGAGACTTTCAAATTCGAACCAAACAAATTCTTTTTTGGCAATTTTCACCTAACGATTTTGTTGGCCCAAACAAGACTTGTTTGACAACGTGTTTGTTTTTCTCTCAGTGTAGACAAACAAATATATCGTCTGTGTGTAGTAATACGGTTAAATCTGAATTTGATGGCTGTGAAAGCGGAATAATTTTTACTTCAATGTTAACCTTAAGAAATTTTATTGCGCCAATTTGTAGATGTTGAAGGAACTAGGAATGGGTAAAGAGAATCGCCCTAAGCAGAGGAGTGAAAAGAACCATGAAATCGAGTGAAATCAATCTGGCTTTAGTCAGGCGACATTTTGCTAGTAGTAAGAAAAGATTTTAGGTCAGACTCGGTTGAGTATAGGTATAAAAAGGGGATTCCATTGACGATTGTACGGTGGAAAGAGGATATATACGGAAATATTCCGATTCTTGCCCCTGTAATCGATTCTGAATAAAGTACCTGATTTTTTTATTCGAGGGGGAAATAAAGTGCAAGTATCTCATTCTTGGAATGATTCTACGAATGGGGAACAGGTAAACATCGTATGTCTGGGAATTCTCCGGGATTTTCGGATATCCAGACATTTATGGGCAATGAAAGGACCCTTTTTTAAAGTGTCAAGTCCTTCAAGAGTGGGAAATACAGCTAGACATTCGTTTCTATTACTGCGGACCTAAAATTTCTTTGCCAAAAATATTCATTCATGTTTCCTGGTGTTATCCCATGAAGGTACGTATAATTTTGTTTCATTGAGTACTTAAGGATGTTCAACCTAGCAAGTGGACAACTCAGTTGGAAATTAAAATAAAATTTACTACATAAATCATTCACTTTACAAATTATTTTTCTCATCAAATTAGAAGTGCTATGGCGTACTTTTCCGGTCTCAAAAACAATAATTAAAGAAAATGTTCATAGATAATGGAGGGCTTGTGACTGCAGTGGTAACAGTCGAATTTTGATCGGGCAACATCGCACGCTTCGGCTAGTAGTGGGGTTGTAACAGTGAGATGAATGTTTGTGTGTGTTATGCGTGTCCATATGCTTCCAGCACTGAATTATCATCACCGACTTTACCGATCTCGATCAGCTGTTGTGCGGTGTTGTCGCGTTGCTCAACTCGTAATGGCGGTCAATTTTTTTTTAGAGGAATTCGAAGATCAATTGAAGATATCACGCCTATATGGCCCGATCCCCTACTTGTTCTCGCCGGCGATAGATTCCCCATAGTCTAAAGTAAATGGCTTGTGGTTTTTTTTCAATATCTTGAGTGTCTAACCCATGCAACATCTCGATCAAAGTTCACACGGTCACGTTTCTTCCCTGAGCGTAATGTTACAAGAAGTGATTTTCAGAAATTAATTTCTCACTCGGATGCCCCGATGGAAGGATTAAGATTATTACTAACGCGTGGCTCAAATATGAACTTGGCATATGAGACAGTATCAAAATAATGGTGAATAATGTGGGTTTCGGCTAAACATCCTTAATGAATGTAGAATTAAATATTTTTGTATTTCACTCTTTTATACAGATGAATAAACTGAGCGCGGGAGATAAATGGACGGAATAAGAAAAGAAGTGAGTGATATAGAACAGAATATAAAAGAAAATATTTTCATGGAGGATAACTCACTTCTCTGGCGACCATCATTGTTGTCCCTTGATCCTTTCCACTCCCGCATATGACTCCCAGCTGATAAAGCGCAAACAGGAAGAGCAGTGCGATAAAACACAGCACAGTGCCCTTGCGGGGCGTTCGACTCGGTAAAAAAGTCATTCTGCTTTCCAATTTCTCTGTTTTACTTTTTCCAGGGCTGCTAGTTCATTTTACCTGTGACATAAAAGGAAAAAGATATCGTTATATATTTTTTCATTTATAAAATTGAAAGAGGAGGAAAAAAAAACACTCTACAAATGATAAATTGAAAAATTGATTTTTCAATCTCTCCCTGGAATGTTTTGTATTCCTAAATGGTTTCAACGCCGAATACCGAAATGAAAAAAATATATACAGCTTGTGTCCTTTAACACACGGATGTCCCATGGGTTTTCAGTGATTCAAATCCCATGCAAATCGGCCCCAAGGTGAACTCCCGCCCGAATATCCACACGTACAGCTACTGGTTTATGTAGTGACTGCCATGTAGTTACTAACCGACCACCGACGGTTTTACGACTGGTAACCTCATAAATTCACGGATTATTGCTACATTTCGTTCGTTTTATACCTCATCCCCCAATTTTCCTCCCATCGTTGTTGTGAAACCTCAAATCAGGGGAATATGTTGAACTTTTTCCCAAAAAAATTACACTCTTTTCCTTCAATCTCTTGAACCATCAAAAATATAATCATGCTGAGGTTTAATGAAAGATTCATCAGCGAACACATAATAGAACATAAAACGTTTTTTCATAGCAAAGCTTACAATGCCCCATAGTAACCATTACCATGTCCACAGTAATACATGCAAATTGCTGATAACGCTTACTATGTGCGAATTTCGACATAGTAATCTGTACTATTTTATTTTCTCCGTGCATAAAGTCATCTTAGTAAATGTCATTGAAACAGTCCTTCATGAAACATTTGAAATGGAGGAAAGCTCTCTAACGCTGGAGTTAAAACAACACAATCAAATGGACTGTCAAAAGCCATTTGTGTGGCAATATTGAGTAAAATATACACGCAATTGCCTGTAAATTTGTCTGACTTTGGCTTTCAGCTTGCCATGTGCTACTGCTGTCGTATGTATATATTAGCTGAGAGCTCAATGCCACGACTGCACTAAAATTTCCGCTTGCTCTGAAAACATTCGCCCGCCGCCGTTGGGATTATCAACCCCTACAGCTCTCCAGTGACCAATGTGTATTTTCACTGCGGCAAAAAGGTTTAAACAAAATTTCCATCATTTTGGACAATTTATGAGCAGATGTTTATGATATTATCGCGATGATTTCATCATTGCAATTTCCTCTGTTGTGAAATAGAACATTTGAAACACTCTCGCGATTACGTCCTGTGGTAGTGTCCACTGTACGATGACTCCAGACAAATCATGTTTCAAAAGCTTATGGACCAACAGTTTTTCCCACCACATCATGCACGAGAAATCCTAATTAGACTAGATAAAAACTGTCTTGCAAATTGAACTGTAATTCAGTAGCGAAGTGGTAAAGCGGTTCAAGTCGATTTTGAATATTGGTCATTTTTCAGTGAATATCTCGGAATCTAAGGGAGATAGCTAAATTTTTGTCAAGACCTTTTTTGTAGCACTCAATTTGCTCTAGAAAAAAGGTTATTACGAAAATTTCGTTATCTCCTTTAGATTCGGAGATATTTTTCAAAAATTCAACTAAGAGATAAGTCGACTTAAACCGTTTTACCACTGCACTACTGAATTGTTCAGAAATGCTTAAATGAAAAAAAAGTTGAAGCACTCGCGATTGCCATATGGAAAAATCTATTACCATGGTATCATAAAATTGTTGCAATCTTATCTCAATTCTCCACTATCTGCATTCGGCGTCTACTTTCACACATCACAAACCAACTCCTACTCTTGTCTTACAGCTCGCACTTTCCTTTTTCCTTGCTCGCCAACACGATTCTACATTATTACTGTCTATCCATTCCACCATTCCATTGTCTTCACCTTCCGTTCGTAGTCAACACAACGACGAAAGCCGAGGCCAGATCGATGTTTACGATAGTACTCTTTCGGAGTAGTGCTATGGAGACGTTTTTAGCATTGTTTTATCTTCTGGGAGTTTCTGCTTGCGCTGAATAAGAGGGATGAGAGGAGCAGTAGCCGAAGGCTTTCGACAACTTTGCTGCAGTTATCGTTGAATTTTCGAAAATTGACTCGTCGATTGAATGCGGTATCGACATTCGTTCGAGAATTATAATCAAAAAAGAGTAAATGACCGTCTGATACATTTTCTATATTGTCAGAAATTCATTTAAACTAAAACAATCTGTAGCTATATTAAATTTCATTTCTACGGGTTCGGAACCTATTTCTTTTTTTTTCATTTTTATTATAGTCTATTCGCATTTGACACGCTGCCAGAATGCAGCAAAGCCATCGTAGAATTGAATATTTTTCTCGGTTGACAGAATGCTATATCGGAGGCGACGAATTGATCTGTCGGATTCCCTGAGATATAAATTGCCGTAAAAAAACATTGACGATGATGTGCCCATGGTAATGTACATTTTTAATCATTGAGGTATGCGAGAATGGAAATACTCAATAAGAATTCAGTAGCGAAGTGGTAAAACGGTACAAGTCAATTTTGACTATTGACCAGTTTTCAATGAATATCGCGAAATCTAAGGGAGGTAGCAAAATTTTTGTTATAACCTGTTTTGTAGAGCCGATTGAGAGCTACAACAAATGTAATGGTAAAAATTTTGCTATCTCCCTTAGATTCGGAAGTATTACCCGGAAACTCAACTGGGGGATAAGTCGACTTAAACCGCTTTACCACTTCGCTACTGAATTAATGATGAGTTTTTCGAAGATGTGAAAATATGTCCAGCAATTCTTTGTTTATCTATTGTATGTGGCTAACTGTTTTTGGTAAAGCCAGAGACAAAAGTATTTCGAGAAAAGTTGATTTAAAAAAACTGTCGCCTTTTATTTAGCTGGAGTTGGTAGGTGGTTCAACGACTCTCAATCTCCATCTGCTGATGAATGAATGCTCCTTAGAAAACTGAGGGAAAACAAAATTCTGAGGATATTAAGAATACAGAAAACTAAACGAGAGTAAACAAGGCCGGAAGTTTAATTTCCTCATGCTTCCGTTTTTGTATTCGCTTATCCAATTTCCGAGTTACTTTTTTCATGCATTACTCTTCTCCGCACGGAGAGAAATGTTCAGTAAAAATTACGGAACTCACAGTTCGCTCACCGATTACGGAATCGACTCAGAAAATTTAAGTGACGGTATCGCAATTTTTCACACGAGATTCAGGAAAAAATTACGGAACGCTCGGGTGTTTTAAAAATTCTGTGACTTGAGGTAAAAATTACGGACAATTCCGTAAAAATTCCTACAACCACATTTCGCCCGGAATTACGGAAAAGGTACGTAATTTTTGTGAATATTTCTCTCCCTGCGAATAAACAACAAGACAGAAATCGAGCAATCACTATAATCTTCTACATGGAGAGAAATAAAAAGAAGTGATGAAGTGAGACAGTGTCTGACCTTTATATTACACTTGAGAGCGAAGCTGTAAAGCGGGTCAAGTCGATTTTAACTTTTGGCCAGTTTTTGATTAATATCTCGGAATCTAAGAGAGATAGTAAAATTTTGCTCATAACTTTTTTTATAACCCTCAATTGGCTCTACAAAAAAGGTCATGACAAAAATGTCTCCATCTCTTTTAGATTCCGAGATATTCGTCAAAAACTGGCCTATAGTCAAAATCGACTTGAGCCGGTTTACTTCGCTACTGAAATAATCATCCTCGAATTGAAACACCCCATTCGAGTATAAAATATACTTGATTCAAGTATATTTTATTCTAAAAACCGGTTGATGTATATTCAAATATATTTTTTTCCATGATAGTTAAATATTTCCAAATGAATGGAATGAAATGTCAAATCCTCGGAAAAATATGAGCAAAGGGAATAGAGGGTATATGAGTTATCTGTCGAGAAAAATTACAAATGCCCTCAGGGTGTGATTAATGGAGTTTACACTTCATCCATATTGTGCATGCAGGCCTCGAAGAAAACTTTGTCACTGAGTTGAGTTTCTGACGTCAATTAATCTGCAACCCCTCTCTACACTGTATTTTCCTGCTCCTATTCCTACGAGTTTCCTTGATATGAATTAATCATGAATCCTCTTCGACGAGGGAGTTATTTTCAAACTGGAGCGCAGCTTTCCGTTTTCATCCCCTAATGGGTAAACACTTGTTTACCAGTTGTTTTTGCATAATCATTGAAAATACACTGTTGATTGCATCTGTATATACAATAGTTAAGGGATTATTGGCCACCCAGAAATTGGAATAAACTGTCTAAGTCCAAGGGACCTGATGAATTTTTCCACTCCTTTTTTTTATCACACGGAGAGAATTGGGTCTTCAACTGGGGCCTTCAATTGAAAGCCCGAGTTGAAGACCCGAGTTTGTAGCAAAGATGTCAGACAAGATATGAATGTTTTTTTGAGCTCAAACGAAAGAGCGGGTCGAGAAATGGCGTGCTAGGACCTCTAAAGATGGTTTTGAACCAGGCGATTGGTGATAAAATTTTTTGGAAATAATGAAATGGGGAAGATAACGCCTTTTTTTGCAGGGGTGATTTTTCAAAAATTTATTTTGAAAAAAGTACTAACTAGCAAATGTTTCTTATTAGCTCGCAATTTTCTTCAAAACTACTCCAATGAGGAAAAAAATAAAAATTTGGAATATCTATACATGAGGGGCTAATTGATCGGATCTTAATTCGAGAAGTTTCTTGAAATTTCAAAAAAATTCAAGAAAATAGAAAAGACCATGGACGCATCCACGTACAGTTACAGCTTTATCAAAGATACAGCCGCCTGCAATGTTTAAATTTATTTTTCACCTTCCGCTCTGAAATGTAAATAAACTGAAACAAATAGGACTAGAACTGATTGGAGGAGAATCTCTATACAAACACGGGCGTGTCTCCCCAGGTTAATACCTTTCCAATTAATCGTTGGATTCCATGGATAACAACCGTGCCGCTATGCCTCGAGCATTCTCGACATGTTCACGAGCAGTTTTGGCGTTGTTGGCTACATTTACGCTTAATTAATTTATTGAGTCAATTCATAAATTGCTGTATGCGTTTCATACGCTCCCCCCTCCCCCCCAGTTATGAGGATATTGCAGTCAAGGAACTGTGTTACGGGTAATAAGATTAGTTGAATGGGTGTCGCTGTTGCTGACCTCAACAAACTAATTTTGTCGAGTCAGTCTCTGCCACGAATATTTTACGCTTCCAATTAATCCAAATGCACATTGCAATAATTCGAGAATATTATTTGCAAATCTTTGCAAAGCTTTTATTTTCATTTTCTTATTATTTTTCACCTGAAAATTCTGAAGGAATTACCTGACGTCCTCACTTGGAAAAGTTTTAATTAAAAATATTCAGCAACTTGCTTCAAGTCGGGTTGAAAATCAACATTTAGTTAAATTGAAAATGTAATTAAGAAAATTTTACAAGAGCAATTTGTTATGCATTAAACAGCAAGGCGTACTCAAACAGAATTTTTTATTACTGTAAATTGATAGACTGCTCGACACAAACTGAGTTACAAAGATTCACAGGTACAGTTGGTTCACTGAGTACTTAATTACCGCTTCTGAGGCATTAATTAGCGCCTTAGTTTACTATTCACGGGAATTATGCTGTGCATCCTCCGTGGCAATATTGTAGAATGTGTTATAATTATTAATTATCACAGCACTGGCAATTGGTAGAAAGATATGAGACGATGAGTGTGCATTCAATGGAACCAGGTTGATCACAAAAATGACATTGCCAATGGGCTTTTTCATGGTTTCTTCGCTTCCTTGTGCATGCGTATTCCAATTAGTGAACGTTCTGCGGTAATGAATGTTGAGACTCATTGGTGGTGCGATATTCCCGGCCACTATATAATTATTTATTTCGGTCAAACCTTTCAACATTTAATTTTTTTAATCAACACATGCCCTATGTACACTATTAAAAATTTTCGTCTGAATATGATGACAAGAAATCAAGCTCATCGTATCTCTGAGAGGAATCATCAAATTTGTAAAAAAAATGTAATTTTTCGACTTTTTTTCACAAGTTTTATTGCAAAATCTAAAGAACTGCTGAGGCGATGTTATTCAGAATCTAATCAGTTCTAAGTTACATGAAAACACATCGATTGCGTGAAAAAAAATTCAATCGCATCGTTTGTTCGAGAGAAATCGTAGCACAAAATTTTGGTCACGCACACACACACACATTCACACATAAAGACCGGTCCCTGAAACGTGTCGGGCGAGTTTCTAGGGGTCATGAAACGTGGAGAAATCATGAAATTTCCACAATTGATGTTCGGGGTCATTACAATAACTTCCTCCCTTCGGCTCGGGACGTTAATAATGAGAAAAAAAATCACAGTATACAATATGGGGCACACTTAGCCCTCCGCCTGCTTCCCCTTCCAATCCGGCTTTCAATTTCATTTGAAGAGTTTGATATCACTTTTCCAAGTTTTAGTGGTAAAAAAACTCATCGGAATTCGATAGGAACGGACTTTTCAAGCGAAATTTTAAGAAAAACTGGCAAAGTTTGTCAGTGTTTAATCACCTCAACTTCTCAATAACTAAACCTCAAATTCAATCATTCTTCTTTCATCATCTTTTGCTTATTCTTGGCCAGTATGTACTTCTTTCAAAGTAGGTTCACCGTTAACGAGGACTTTCCGACGAAATAGTTTCGATAGGGCGAAATGGAAAAGTTCTCTGTTGAGGAAAAAGTTTTCTCTTGGAATATCGAGGAGAATG